TGCCCGTAGTCTTCAGGGGGCCCAATGGCGCCTCAGCAGGAGTGGCTGCCCAGCACTCACAGTGCTTTGCTGCCTGGTATGGGCACTGCCCAGGCTTAAAGGTGGTCAGCCCCTGGAATTCAGAGGATGCAAAAGGACTTATTAAATCAGCCATTCGGGATAATAATCCAGGTCAGTAGAATGACCGTTAGGTCTCTTTTGAACCTTAAAGAACTAAGTTGCAATCTTTGCCTGGAGGGAAGCTGTTAAAGGCTTCTAGTTGGGCTTAAACATAACATATAAAATGTCAGTTAATGATTTAGAGATACAGTAAAGACCGTTTTCAAAAAGGTTTTGTTTTTACTTTTCTGACTGTAAAGGGGCCTGCTAGGTACCTACAACGCTGATTTAACTACAATAGATAAAATTAGGATTGACCAGAATATAAATGCTGGTACCTAAACCATCCTCTCAAGGCTACTAGACAATAGTCGTGAGACTTCCTATTGTCACAGTGAAACTTTTTGCAAAATGAGTCATAGTGTTGTATATACATTTGGTCATGTAGTTACTTCTGTTAAATATTTATATTTTTCAGTGGTGGTGCTAGAGAATGAACTGATGTATGGAGTTCCTTTTGAATTACCCTCAGAAGCTCAGTCAAAAGATTTTCTGATTCCCATTGGAAAAGCCAAAATAGAAAGGCAAGGTAAGAGCACGTAGTACATCTTAAATATTATTTGTAATCTAGCCAATTATGTTGGTCAAATTCTTTTTTTGTTTTTTTAGAGGTGGGGGAAGGTCGGCGGAGGCGGGCGAGAGAGAGAGATAGAGAGAGAGAGAGAGAGGGAGAATCTTAAGCAGGCTCTATGCCCAGCCCAGAGCTTGACTAGGGCTTGATCTCATTACCCTAAGATCATGACTTAAGCTTAAATCAACAGTTGGACGTTTAACTGATTGAGCCTGCCAGGCGCACCTGGTCAAATTCATTCTTGAAGTTACTTGCCTTTTACTTTGATTAGGAAATTATAGGATGAGTTCAAGTTAAGAAATGTGTCATGTTTTGCTTATACATTTATGCTTCCTAATTCTCAGTCCAGTAGATTTGTATTTCATCTCTAGGAAGGCTACCACATTCCTCGCCTCCCTGGAATGGAGTTGAAGATTTTACAAATGAGTAAGAGCCACAGTGGCTGCGGGGCAGTACAGCATCCTTGGTTTCAACCTGGCCTCTGATCTGTGACCACTTTGTTTCAGGGACACACATAACCGTAGTTGCCCATTCAAGACCTGTGGGCCACTGCTTAGAAGCTGCAACAGTGCTATCCAAAGAGGGAATTGAATGTGAGGTATGTGGACATTCACTTCTGGAAAAATCAGAAAGTTTCCTTTTAAAATTAAGACCCAGAAACAGGAGTTTGAATTCTTTAACAGGTTAACCGAGAGTAAAATCTTGCTTTGCAAATACCTAGCTTTTTACTGTGTAGGTTCTAGATCTGTTACAGTAGTACCTGCTTTCTCAAGTTGGGATCCAGCCTTGGAGCTGGAGTTCAGGAGAGGGGCATACCTAGAAATCAGGGTCTAACTCCTTCACATCCAGGACCTGCCACTTGCTGGTTACACTTGGGCAAGATCTGTACTCTCAATCTCAGCCACATCAGCTGTAAACTGAGGAGAATACACTTACTGTCCCCTCGGGGTGGTTGTGGGAATTACACATAGTGTAGTACCTGGTGCACAGTGAGCAGTCAGTTGGTAGTTATTAGTTGTTTTGACAAGAAGTAAGTTAGCAAAGGAAGATAAGTGAATTCTTAACAGAACCACTTGTGGTAGAGATAAAGATTTTCATTTTAATTACAATTTCCCATTTTACATTTTGTTCTTGGATAGGCAGATTCGATTTTCCTAGACCCAGAGATTAACAGAAAATAAGAGAGGAAGTGGTATTATGGAGATGAGACTACATTTGTGGTGCAGTGGCTCTACAAATCATATCTATGTTGTCTGTTTAGGTGATAAATATGCGAACCATCAGACCAATGGACATTGAAACAATAGAAGCCAGTGTCATGAAGACCAATCATCTTGTAACTGTGGAAGGAGGCTGGCCACAGTTTGGAGTAGGAGCTGAAGTTTGTGCCAGGATCATGGAAGGTATTTCAGAGAAACTGGTTCTAGAATACTCAAACTGTAATAAACAGTGTGTACCTGGATACTGGACAGAGATTAGAAGCTAGGCCAACAGTCTTAACTTGTCACCTTGGCATTTTTCATTTGGGTCAATGGGTGTTTTTGGTGGGGGAGGGGTAAATGTTTTTTAAAAAGCCAGAAACAGCCCTGGTAATGAGTATTCCTTTAGATTTTCTCTCCTTTGGAGAGCCATACCTCCTATGGGAAGGTGGTGGTGCTCAGTGGCTTTTCTTGCCTCTCAGTGAGCCTCCTTCTCTCCTAGGCCCTGCATTCAATTTCCTGGATGCTCCTGCAGTTCGTGTCACTGGTGCTGATGTCCCCATGCCTTATGCAAAGATTCTAGAAGACAACTCTATACCTCAGGTTAAAGACATCATATTTGCAATAAAGAAAACATTAAATATTTAGTTTGGACTTGAATTTCAAGTCGTTGGGATTTACTTAAAATACTTGCTGTCTATTTCACCTGGATTGTACTGTAAGACCTTATGATTCATAAAGTTATCTCTAAAGCAACAACACGTATGTTTTTGTACTTGGAAGAATTTAAATGTGCTTGTATGTGGAAAAAACTCCTCTCCTGCCCTAGACTCCATGGGGTTTTTTTCTGGTCTGTTACAATCACCACATTCTTTGAATAAGGCTAATGTAAAATTTTAACCTCTCATAAGGACAAGGTATGAATGTGGCAGAGTTTTGCAGAAAGATGTATCCAAAAAGGACAACTTGTATGTAAAGGTAAAAGCTATCATCTACATTTGTTGTTAAATTGTTTTGATAAGGAATAAAAGAATTCCTAATATGACTAATTGTAATTTTATATTCTTGAAATAATAAACATGGGGTGGGTGGAGGTCTTAAAATTGCTAAGAATTTCTGTTAAGAAATGAGCGACACTGGGGCGCCTGGGTGGCTCGGTGGGTTAAAGCCTCTGCCTTCAGCTCAGGTCATGATCCCAGGGTCCTGGGATCGAGCCCCGCATTGGGCTCTCTGCTCAGCAGGGAGCCTGCTTCCTCCTCTCTCTCTGCCTGCCTTTCTGCCTACTTGTATGTAATCTCTACCTGTCAAATAAATAAATAAAATCTTTAAAAAAAAAAAAAAGAAAGAAATGAGCAACACTAATCACCTAAACTGCCATCACATTTGTAACAGGAACTTGTCCACAGACTCTTCAAAAGCCCAATTGTAATAGGTTTCCCCTCCAAATTAAACCAAAATTCATGTCAAGTATTTTTCCCATTGCCAAAAAAGACATTCTACCATATGCTGTCGTCTTTAGAATTTGAGACAGAAAACACAATTAGTTATAGAAGCATACAAAGGGTGCCTAATTTAAATAGCAAGACAGGATTGTTAGCTTTTAGTAATTAAGAGGGAAAATAAGACAAAAAGAAATAGACATCAGGTAGGTAAGAAGGAAACCAGAAATACTATATGGATCTATTTTTTATAAAAGTTCCCACAAAAAATCCCACTACAAATGCCTAGCCAAGCTACAGACACATTTTCTTGACATGGTTTATTTTAATAAAAAATACAGCTGAACATTTATCACAGATTAAATGAAACTATACACAATGACATTCTCTCTGCATAGTAACCAACACTGATGTGTGTACTTGAATTTTTAAATGGATTACTGATAATCCTTTAAAGTGCAATTTATTTAAGGGTTTAAACAAATCATAGGATAAAGGATCTAATAAATGAGTAACATTAGAAAGATGATGTATTTGGATAAATCTTTCAAAAATCAGAAATGATTTCTATGGATGCCAAATTTACTTGTGTTGTAATAATAACCCCCCCACAAACCACAAACTTGACTTTATTGCTGAGGATTAAGGAGATCCTCTAATCCGGAAAGCACTTTTCCTGATCTTAACATTTTCTGCCTGTCCAATATACTCTAACTAAAAGGAACTATGAGTCGAGTGGTTGCTTTCACAGCCCTGAGTTCTATAACCACAATGGTATTCCTGTCAGAACCTAGAGAAGGTTCCGGACTTGACTTGCCTGTCTATCCGAATGGAAAAGGAAGAACTCAGTTGCTTCTCTCACTCCACGACATAACTAGGCTTTAGACTACAGTGTTAATAATGTCTAAGATGAAATAAGGTAGCAAAAATGGGAGTTATCTAAGAAATAACCAGAGAATGCTTTATAGAGAAATGAGAGGAACGTTTCCGGGAGCTGTCTGATGGGAGAGGAGGGATTGCAACACAAAGGTCATTCACTGCTGTGACTGGACGTGGTCATTGCTTTTGTGTCCCTTTCCTTCAGTGGGTGAAAAGGTTGACTCCAATATGCTGCTGCCCCCGAAGGATGCCCATTAGAGGATGAACCAGACTCCTTTAAAATGGCAATAAAGGAGCAAAATAAATATTTCTTAAGGCAGAAATGCCAGCCTGACTTTATTCTATTTGAATATTTCCCTCTTGAGAAGCTGTTTGTAGGAGCATCTGCAAGACAGCAAGTGGCTGTCCTGGCTCATTCATCCGGAAAGAGAGTACTTCAGGGGCTGGAGGTGGGAGGAAAAAACAAAGAACTTTTCCCTCCAAATGTAAACACGAAGCTTTAGCCGATCTTAGGAGCACTATGATCACAGGTTTCGGCTTTCCTCAAAGTTCCCTTTTGGAAATTCTGGATGGAGCTGAGTAAGGCTCCGCGGCTCACACCATTCACAGCCTGGGGCAGGAGCTGTGTAGGCGCCTCTGTGCTCACAGGAAGCAAGGGAGCTGCTGGTGGTGGAGGCGGAGGCGGTGGAGGTGGAGGAGGTGGAGGTAATGCAGACATCCCTGGGTGGGGGGGCAGAGAAAGGGGACAGTCAGTATCATCTCTCCCAACCCCCCCGCACATGCTACTACTGCTCAGTCCTGGGTAGAAGGGACTTCGATGAGCCTGCCAATGTTTTCCCGCAGAGGGACCAAGATACGCAGTACCGTGTGTTTTTTTTTAAGTGCTAACTAGAAGCATCAAAGGGGAATTAATTAAAGGTTGCCATTTTCCCCAGGTAATAAGTCATCTAAGACTGAATATCACAGATGACATGAAACTCTACACAGTGACATTCTCCCTGCATAGGTGAGGCTCTTAACTCCATTTCCAAATTTTAGCAGTGGTCCCCAAAGAAAAGTTCCATCAGCTGCTTCAGGCAGGTCCAGGGCACCTACTGAGCCAGCAAGTCAAGACAGACATTTGTATGCACAGAGTTGGGCTACCTGAGTATCAATCACTGACAAGGGACGAACATTTCTTTAGCTGCCCCAACACACACAATATTTGAAGGATGTGATTTAACAGAAAATGACAAGCCACTCAGGATTCTAGGCAAAGAACAGTGCCTGCTGGGTTTGAAGGTTCCCCAGGGGCGTGTGTCTTGAATAATCATTTTCTATTAGGCTGCATTAAAGAAATATAAAATGCTAATAACTGTTAGCAGCGCAAAGCAGGGGGCAGAAGGCTGTCTCCCTGGGAGCAGTCTTCTCAGGGAGGAGTCGTCCTCAGCACCTTCCTTCCACGGGGCTTCACCCGGGAACAGATCGCAGCTGCAATAACCCTGCACCTTCGCTGAGCGTCAGGAGAGACTCCGCCCGGGCGGACAAGGAAAGGGAACTGGACACATATCTAAAGCTTCCCTTAGCTTCCAGGCACGCCAACATGTGGCAGTTACAGTTTTGAATCGATGAATGAGTTACTCTCCTAGGACAAAATAAAAGCTGAGTACAGCCAAAGACCTGCTTTAAAGAACTTGCTGGTGCGGCAGAGTAACGTGTCCTGTCACCTGGGAATCCTGCAGCTCTCGGTGACTCCCCTGTTTCTGGCCTTAGTCTCAGCCCCTCCTAGGGCTACACAGCAACACATCCTGTTAGGTGTTCCTCCCCTCTAACCTGCTGCTGAGCTGTGCTGGTAACAAGTAAACATACCCTTCACCACCTGAGTTTCTATGGATGAGTGGTTCAGGATCACCAAGTACTTAGCTAAGAGCATCCTTTTCACCGAGCGTGACACATAACAGTTCAAAGTCTTGTATTTCATGGAAGACCACTTACCTTCCTTTCATCTTTTACTCAAACCTAAGCCAGCTGCAATTAAAGAATCACACAGACACATACATTCATGCTCTGCAATCTTAGAATTCTCAAATGATGAAAATACAGCAATATGAATAAACATTAAATACAGACAAATGAACAAAATGTAATTCTCACTGGTACTACATAGTAACAACCAATGAATGAAGTCATAGTATGTTTTCTACTAGGGTGACTTGGGGAAAAATGTTCACAGCTGTGTGTTACAGGGTTAAAAAGATAAAAAGGACTTTAAACCCACAATGTTTGCTAAGGTGAGAAGAGCAGGGAGAATAAGCATGCTAGAAGGGGGTTTTGGAGAGTGGCCAGTGAAATCCCAGGAGGAAGGGGGTGTCTCTGAAGGCTCTTGGGACTCAACAGCAGCACCAAGAGTGCCCCAAGGAGCCAGCAGGTGCGGAAGCCCCGCAGTGCCGCCCACTGGCCAGCATCTGGGTTTGACATTCAGCGCCTGCCCTGTATCAGAAGGGGCTCCAGAATTTTCGGAGAGAAGAGGCACTGCAGGTTCTAAGAGGGAAGATAGGCTCCGGGCTGCAATAGCACTGGTTTTGTGCTAAAGGCACAGAAGAGCCATCCGGAGACCTGCTACCCCTCCAGCCCGGGACTCTGGGAGGCTAGAGTGGGTCTCAGCTGCTGGACCTGGATCTGGGTTGCCTCTTGGCACAGAACAAATCTGCTTGGCCCTCATGAGGAGCCCACCCTCAACTTTGGCTGCATTACCAGCCACTCAAAATTAAAAGTGCAAATTGACTATCTCAGAGTTTGGGAGTTGGATTGATATTCAGTACCTGGATCTGTATTTTTCCACGTAAAGTTTGAGATTGTTATGGCTTTAAATGAATCTCCTTGAATATGTAGGTAGCATAAATAAACAGACGGTCCCAAGTGTCAAAGAGTAACCTGTGCTTATAAAGCAAATGAGACGTGGAGGTCTGTGCAAAAGGAGAGGCTGTTCATCCAAGGGTAAGGAACAAAGTAACCCTGGCATCTGTCCCTAGAGGGCCGGACCAGACCCAAAGGGCCTAACTGTCCCACGAGGCCCACTTTCCTTACTGGGCCTGAGACAATGAGGGCCGATATTCAGGTGTACAACCAGGGCAAGGCCAGACCTCATCTTGCCAGCTCAGAACACTCTGGAAGTGGGGAGGAAGTCCCACGGTCAGAAGGTCAGGAGGAGAGGAAGCAAGAACAGACCCAGGGACTCAGCCACTGACTGCAGGCCCAACACCAAGATTTTTTGGCCTTTTCTTTTTACCTTCTCTATAGTCCACAAGCTTCCTTTAAAGTTTGTCGGGGCTTAAGCTACAACATGTTCTAACAGTTGGCAATACTGATAGGGGCCAAATTCAGAACTGGCTATGTGGCCTGAGGCAGGCCTGACAGCCACTGACTCCTCCCCGCCAACAGGTACCCAAAAGCCCTTACCCCCAGGCCACAGATAAGACCAGACAGATTCTGTGTTACATTGGTTGTTAATTAGAATTTAAATTAAAAATTTAAAGGGGTGGGGGGAAAGGTTGGTTGCTAACTGAATTTACCCAGCTTTGAAAAATACTGGCTTCCAAACCCAGGATGAGGGATGCTCCGGAACAGTTCTCTTCCATCCTACCTACTCCTAGTCAAAAATCCCAAAGCCAGCTACTTTATCCTCCCCAGAATCCCATTTACCACTAATGAGAACCTGGCAATCCAGAGCCTCAGTTAGATCTAGAGTGGAAAGCCTTGCCAGAAAGACCCTCACCAGCCTTGGGGAAAGAACGTCTGGGGACTGCCCTTTCTTTGGGGCCAGTTTTAGCAGTGGGCCATCTACAAGTCTCTGCAGGTCTGTCTTTGTGGTCTGCGAATAGAAGCGGGGAGACCACAGGGCCACCAGACCAACACTAGACCTGCTAGCCATCCTCGAGAGGGAGCAGAGAGCAGTGACCCCTGGAAGCAGACCACGCTCCCAGCTCTTGGCAACTGCCTTTGTATTTTTCCTCAGGTAGATGAGAAGGCTGCACTCATGTCCCAACGCAAGAATTAGTAGGGATGCTCTAGAGAACTGTTTTTCCCTACTGTCCGTTATAAAAGCCGGTGAGCTGTCTTCCTGAAATCAAGAACTCAACCGGCTAACACTCTTTCCCTGCATCAGAGTAACAGGGAACCAATATTTTTGCTGCACCAACACTGTGGGATCCCACTTTCCAAAAAGAAAATAGAACAAAATGCCATGTGGTTGATTTGCAGGTTTTGAGCTGTGTTTTAAAACTACAATCAGAGTGGAAATGAAGATTTTGAAGGTCACAGTGAAAATGAAATGAATGTAGATGAAGTCATTTGGGTGCTTTTTAAAGATGCTGTATTTCGTTTAGATGTTCAGATAAGGAAATCGTCCCAAATCTGCTTTCCCATTTGTTCATCACTTCTGCGATCTCCACACACTGGGCCCCATTTCACATCCAGAAACAGAGCATCTTTAAAGTTAGAGAAACCAGTATAGCTTACTTTACCGAAAATTCACGTTCAAAATGGTGCATGCTCTACTGAAAACAGCAAAGAGAGAGAAAGAGAGAGAGAGGGGACACATGTCATTATTCAGATTTCAGTGTCTGTTAATCAAATAGTAAGAGACAGCAAAATATTAGTCTGCACCACATGCTGTTTCTTCCCACTGCCAAACTAAGACCCACTTCACCGCAAAATGCACTGGTTTGTAAACAAGACGGTGACCGTTTTAGAACACGGAAAATAGGCTCAGACAGTAATTAGCGAGTCAACGTGCTAACAGAGTTGCCAGAGAATCGCTTTCCTCTTCATACTTTTTTTCTGTGTCCCTGCCCCCGGAGTCATTTAGATGGGATTTTTTTTTTTAAGATTTTATTTATTTATTTGACAGAGAGAGAGAGAGATCACAAGTAGGCAGAGAGGCAGGCAGAGAGAAAGGGGGAAGCAGACTCCCCGCCAAGCAGACAGCCCAATGTGGGGCTCGATCCCAGGACCCTGAGACCATGACCCAAGCTGAAGGCAGAGGCTTAACGCACTGAGCCACCCAGGTGCCCCTAGATGGGATTTTTATTTGTTTATAAGCACAACACTCACTTTAGAAGACCTGTGAAGGTTTTAATCCCTGCCCCCCACCCCAAAGTGGAGTGAGTACAGGAAGTGCAATTAGTTCTACTGCTAAATAAGGACAGCTTATCAAGATGGGAAAAAAACTATAACTCATCACTTTTCCTCAAATCTTCTATAATCTAAAATGAAGACCTGAGTTTTTAAAGCCGGGAAGAGCACGAGCACAGGGTAGGTGGAAGGTGGAGTTCCTGGGCAGGGGCAAGTGGCCCCTCCCCCAAGGCCACCATCTATAGGCTGAATTTGGGCAGGGAGTGACATTTGCTTACTTGTGGCTATAAAACTATTAAAGAGAAAACAAGCCAGGCAAACATGGCTCTTGTCTTCCTTTTAACTGACTAGATTCGAGGTTAAATGTGAAGGATAATGCTCTTCCTGACAGAATCCCAGAGTACCTGATGAACGGGGAGAATCGCTTTGTCTGCAGAGGGGCTGAGAAATGAGGCCCACAAGGGGCTGGGCAGGCTGACCACTCCCCAGGGACAGCTCTGGGAGGATGCTGGGGACACTCTGCCCTGTGCCACCTCCACCCACACCAGCCTTACCCCTTTGGGGTGGGGAAGGAGGGCTGAAAGAGGGCCGGAGAACAGAGCCAACACACTCTTCAGAGAAACACTGAAGGCCGACCTGCTCATCCCAAAGATGGCAACTGCTTTGTGTGTGTGTGGAGGTTTTGAGAAAAAGAAGCAATTCCTATGGCCGGAGACACGGATTCTGAGCCAAGAATGGGTTTCAGACTTTCACATGGCCAGACAGAGTCTGGAAATTCCCAACATTCTATATAAATATATCTCTTTTTTGTGTCTTATTTATTCTCAACCATCCTTCCTATTATTCAAGCTTTCAGTCACTCTGTGCCCATAAGGCTCTGTTTTCCCTTGTCCAGCTCTCTAGATTTGAAACTTCCCTCTCTCCCCACTCATTCTGACACAGAGTTTTCTATGAATTGCCAGCTTTCTCTCCAAAATGACTCCTTTAAATTATTAGTTGCAAGCACAAGGACTAGAGTTCTCTTGCAGGTCATTCACGGCTTCTACTTTATAGCACGTCACCGCTTATAAAGCTTTGTGGTGTACGCGACCTAATAAGGACCAGGAATTCTTTTAGAAGTCAGCTTCAGAGAATGGAAATTACTTGTCCAAGGTCTCAGCTGTAAAGTGGCAGAGCTAGGACTCTGGCCCAGAGTGCTCCGACTCTACCTTTAGGGCTCTTTTCGGGCCACAGAGCAGTGTTTAACAGCACACACCCTACCGTGCACTCGAGAGAACAGGCACTCAAATCAAAACCAACCCGGTAGGGACACCTGGGTGGCTCAGTGGGATAAAGCCTCTGCCTTTGGCTCAGGTCATGATCCCAGAGTTCTGGGATCGAGCCCCACATCAGGCTCTCTGCTCAACAGGGAGTCTGCTTCCTCCTCTCTCTCTGCCTGCCTCTCTGCCTACTAGTGATCTCTGTCTGTCATATAAATAAATAAAATCTTAACAAAAACAAAAAAACCAACCCGGTAAATGTGCAAGGTCGGAACCAAGTTTGGATCCTGGCTCTAGCATCCCCCACTTGTGTGACCTTGGTCAAAATCCCTTAACCTCACTAGGGCCTCCGTTTTCTTTGCCTTTAAAATGGAGCTTTAGTAGGAACTACTCTCATTGGAAAGGAAGGTATTCATGGGGATCAAATCAAACCATGACTTTAAATTTCATAGAACAGTGCCTTGCACAAAGTAAGTGCCTAAAATATGTTAGATGTGCTTATTAAAAACAACAATAATTGAGGGTCTCTTCTCACTTAGCTTTCCCAAAACACTCTTTTGCAAACCTGTTTTAAAAAGAAACCACACACACACACAATAGCAAGACAACAGGGCTATCTATTCCCAAAGAGAGTGCCAGGGTATATTTGTGTGTGTGTGTGTGTGTGTGTGTGTGTGTGTGTGTATAAACAGGGACCTTCTAAACTACTCAGTTCTAGGAATACAAAGTGTAAACACAAGTTGGTGATATTTACCATGAAATAAGTCAGGACAAAGAATTTTAAAGCTCTTGAAAGAGTGACTTTCCAGAGGCAGGAAGTATAACCTTCAGCAGAAAAGAAAGGAATGGTCTCACTGAAAATGTAAGAATTGAAGCAGAAGTTTTAGAGAATCTCACTCCTCCCAAAGGAATGACCAGCAGACCAAGGGAAATGGCATTTCTTCCATCAATCTGGTAAGGACCTCAGGAAGAGGAGCCATAGCAGGAGGGGCAGTAAGGAATGGGGGAGGCCCCAGCCCCTATCTGCTTGCTGGAAAGAGCTCATGAGAGGCAGACCGCTTAGCTTAGAATCATATGTCCTACCCCATACTAAAAGTCACGGAGCCTAAGACCATTGTCAGCTATCACAAATGTGCTTAAAGCTGACATTTTTCAGGAGGAAGACAATGTGACCAATGGAACTTGCCTAAGTTGATCTGTTGCTGAGCAAACGGGATCCCCAGTAGATTTACAGTATGCTTGATTAGAAGAGACAATGAGACAATCTCACCTTAACTCTGACCTTTTTGCCTTTGACAGAGGAGGGAGCCAACACCCAGACATGTAAAGTGATTGATCAAGGTCTCCTGATAAGGAACAGTGTATCGAGGGCTTGTGTATGCCAGGTGCTGTTCTAACCCCATATACATGGAATGTGCTGGATCCTCATAAAAACTCCTGTAGGCAGGCACTGTTACTATCCTCACTGACAAATGAGAAACCAGAAGCAAAAGGGAGGCCAACTGTCTTGCCCAAGGTCCCAGAACTAGCAAGTGTTCACCCTCAAGTTTAGGTTCCCTGGCCCAAAGCATAGTTCCCAAGGGCTCCCAGACTGAGTTGTGCTTAAGATGCTACCTTGAGCAGGAATTGTTAGTTGAATACTATCCTTGAAAGTGAAGATTTTTCCTTCCTTTATTGAGAAAACTGCCTTTTATCATAAAGCTAGAAGACACTATTCTTCACTTGGTTCCCAGATAAGCATGCCTTTTTTTTTTTTAAATGATAAACTTGGCCTAGAAATAAAGACATAAATTAGAGTAAATGTGATTCCAGCAACAAGATGGGCAGTGTGCAGAGAAGCAGCAAGAAAGATGAGCCCACTGAGAAGCTTGGCCTCCTGTCCTAGAAGGTGGATCAGTCTAGGCAGGGACCGACCAGCCAGAAGATGCCACCCATAGGCTGGGAGTCTGCTCTCACCCAGCAGAGGCCTTGACGGCAGAGCAAGCCCAGGCAAACCAGCAATAAGAATTTATCGAGCAGCAAACACAGGCACAGCAGCACCAAGCCACTACCTGTCTGTGGCTCCCTTCTGCCTTGCACAGAACAGAAGCTGGTGCACTAGTTTTTTACGTGGAGATTCTCTACTGAAAGAAGGGAAATACTGAGAGGAGAAAAATCACCAGAGTTGGACCCCAAGGAAAGCACTTGCTTAATTATGTCTAGTTCTTGGAGTTCTTGAGAGGCACTGGAAATGGGACTCCATACGAGCAAGGGCCCTGTCTGTCTATTCATCCCTGTAACCCAGGACCAACCACGGTGTCCAGCACATTGCAGGCTCTCATTCAACACACCCTGATTAACTGAATGAATAAACTCACCGTTTAGGGCCTGAAATGCTGGGTTGACAAGGGAATGCTAATCATTTTTAAGAAATGCATTACAGTAAGTGCCCAGCAGAGGTCAGAGTAGAGTCTTCAGGGCCGAGACAGTTCAACAAATCGTGAGAGGAGATAAAGGAAAGGAGCCAGTATTTGCTGGAACCTACCACCTCTGCCAGGCTTTGTGCTCCGGGCTTCACACCTTTTCCCTCTCAATCCGTACAACTCCCTTTCAGAATAGTCCGATCAAATTCACAGTAACGCACCCTGCCACTCCCACTCACCTCAACATTTTTCCAACATTGCCTCCAATTACAAAAGATCCCTTTTCTTCTCTCATTCTAAAAATGTCCTCATCTCATGTAAACCTGCTACAGTATGAGCCAGCTTGGATTCAAAACACAGGTAAAATCAGAGGGTTCACGAAAAAATCCAAATAGATTGAGAATTCCCCAAGGCATTTAAAAATGAGAACTGGAAGTTAACTTCCCACAACCACTCTAATGCATACAGTAGGTGCTCTGTAGAACTAAAGAGACATCTCATTTATTAAAGAAGCATTTATGGATTCTCACTCTTTATTCTCTCAATTTCCTTCAAATGTCTAAGTGGTGTAAAATTAATATCCTTTCTTCCATTAAATGGCTCAACACGATCTGAGCAGTGGAGTTTCCCCAGAAATTTCTGACTAGCCTATACAAGTCACCCCTACACAAGAGAGAGAAGACTGTATTCTTTCTTGAACAATACTTAGGGGCTTTCTTGTAAAAGCTGCTTATAAAGTCGGCCAGGGAAAAGAATATCATTCCCATGAACCAGGTACTTGGCTCCTCAAAACGGGTCCTGGCCCAGAACACTCAGCAGCAAGCCACCAGGGACCATCCTCAGTCAGCAAGAGGAGACATCACCAGCCAGAAGTAAGCCGTGCAAACTATTCCCTTTACACTTGCTTGTCATTTTCTCAGGAAAGTCAGTTAGAAGATTTGAGAGCAGATGGGTAACGTTCTTGATAGCTCCTGGGTGCTGCCTTAGGCCTTAATGAATATGGAACTGTCAACTCATAAATCAACCCCAGGCAGTGACCCTCCCTCCAGACAGCTGCAGCAACTCTTCCAAGCACAACTGACAAGCTCTGAAAGGCAAAACCAGCTCCTCTGATGTTGAGAACATCTGGTTCCCTTAAGAAGTGAAAAGAAATACTGGTCCCCCAGTGTGTTTTTCTGAGGCATGCAAAATGGTCAGAAAAGAGATACTAATTCAAAAAAGAAAGAGGGAAAGAATAAGAGACTATTCTTATAAATATTCCCCAAGATCAATTCTTTCTATGTTTTTTTCAAACCAAACTCATGGGAATCTGATTGAATTCGCAAGGACAAAACAAAGACTAGTCACAGAAAACTACCCTGGCAAGTAAACACATTACAGAGCAGAAGAGAGAACCAACAGTCACCAGGAAAGCAGAAGTTGGGTGGTTCTGTCGCTCCCACACCTGGGCATTTCACCAGTGCCGCTCGGTGACAAAACGACATTGTGGCTGGGCTCCCCAAGGGGAGAGCTCTGGCAGGACAAGGCGCCCCAGCAGTGGCACAACTGTTTCGATCGGCTCAGCATGTACTGGGACAAGACCTGATCTGAGAGCGCCAAATCCTTACCACTAGACCACCAGGGAGCGTCAAGACCTGATCTGAGGAGCCCAGCATGAGGCCTTTCAGCACAAGAGCAGGCTGGAGGTGGAGGGTGGCTGCTGCCTCTGAAACCAACTATTCCACTCCCTGTGAAGTGGGACTTGGGACACCGAGACCCTCAGCTCTCCCAGTGTGCACTCCCCCGGGGTTCCCTGGAGAAGGCTGACCCCTGCAACGCTTGTGCCTGGGCCAGAAGGCAAAGGGCCCCACTCCTCCTCCTGTTGGGTAAGAGGAGGGTGGCAGGGACTGTGGCTTCATCACTCACCTGCTGTAGAGGGTGGAGTCGGTGACGATGGGGATGTGAGAGGTGAGCTGGCCCCAGATCCTGCTAAGAGAAAACACAGACAAACCCTCCTGGGGACCAAAGACAGACATCTGGAATCTGGCCTGAGCGGGGCACCCACTGTTGTCTGAGAATCTGCACTTGGCTGAGTGGGTGGGTCTTGTGGTAAAAGGTGGGGAGGGACAGAGAATTCAGAGCCTGGACCCAGTGACCTCAGGTTTCCCCCAGGGTGCAGGGTATGCTTTGTCCCCAGGCCACTAAGGGCTCCCTGCCACCCGCTGCCTTCTACGCCCTGCCTGGGTTGAAACCAACTCTGAACGGTCGACGGCTTGTGCAGTTGGCTATGGTATCTCCTCCTGACACAGCCTCTGTCCCTGCATAATGAATGACAAACGACAGTGGCCACAAGTGGTACAGGGGACAAAGCCATCCAGGGGAAGTCACTCTAGAGGAAGCAAGAATTCTCCACAGCATCCAACTAGCAGTGCTCTCTGCAGAAGTTCCATTTAATCAGCAGCTACGCTCAACTAGGTAGGGTCAGCCTGTTTGGTTTGTGGATCACCCAGGCCTCTTCTTAGATGAAATCGAGTAAGAACCTTCTTTTCCATTAAAACAACCTGCATATTCCCATATTCTCAGCATCTCCCCTTTGCTCAGGAGTCCCCAGAGAACATCCTGCTGGCCTGACATGAAAGCAGCCCAACAAACAGAGAGGTTCCTACATAAGCCTTTCTGTGGCCATGGGAAGCCCCCTCCCCATGACAGAGGTCCTCTGGAGTGAGTGACCGAAGCTCCAGGGAGGGCCACGATCAGGCCTCTGAGAAGCCTCCAACCATCACCTCACCTACCACCCACAGGACAGGCTGGGCACAGCACGGACACTGGGCGTGAGGAGAAACGTCCCAGTTAAACCACATCTCCCTCAAGCGGAGTAGCTTTTCCCTGTTCGCAATATTCTCTCACCTCCCTATAAACAGGAGAGGTGTTTTACTGAAAAATGAGGTAAAACCCAACGCATCCTGTGTTTCTATTGCTTTCCAGTGCTGATGGAGATATGTAAAGGGGAGAAGATCGCACTTGTGATTCCAGTGGGGTCTGGAGATGATCTGTCCATTTCCACCAATGGCTACATGGCTTTCCTGAACTTCTTGAGGGCGTGGCGGGGTCTTGGGAGTCCGTGGAGTCTCATCCGGGTGCATGGGGCCCAGAGCCTTGCAGGCAGGCAGGGCCTCAGGAAGGTGGAGAACACTGAGCCAGGCTTTCTCTGCCTTCTAAGGAATAAGCCACTGGACAGAGTATCTGTCCGACATGCTGGGTGGAGACAGGAGTCTCAGCCTAACGCTGATGATGACTGGCCCATATCCATTTCATCAACTGTGGAGAAAGGAGACCTCCAACTCTGGAACTGCCCACTGGCCACAGCAGCCACTATCCCTGAGGAGCCAGCCTTGGTCTTCACTGGGGGCCTCCCCACCTCTCTCCCTTCTGCAGCTCAAGTCTGCAGGCAGTGGTGTCAGCACATTCCCGCCTCTTCCTGAAGTCCACGACCCTCCCCAACAGCCCCGCTCCCTACTTCCGGCCCCACCCGCACCGCCTGCCATCTCTGGCTGCGGCTGGTCCAGGACTCGCATCCTATGCGCCCTGGCAGGCATCTCTTCACTGACTGCGTGGGGAAGACCCGAGCAGGCACGAGCTGTGAACACCCTCCATGTCCTCCCTTCCTTCCACTTTTAAATGCTTCTGCCTCTTCATCCAGCTCTCCTGGCTCCTGCCTCCCAGGAAGAGATGAACGAGCTTCCTCTTCGGTGAGGCTGACAGCTGGGCTCCTGAGCCTAACCTCTTGGCCTTCTGGCCTCCCGGTCGCTCTCTCTTGCACATCTTCAGCTTCTCCCTCTCTGCTCAGCCCTTCTCCCGCCTCAAAGTATATGCAGCTATCCCTCAACCTAACAAAACCTCCCCTCTCCTTGGCCCTCCAGGCTAAGCTGAAGCTGTGCAGGTTCGAATGAAGCCATGCCCTCTCTATGTGGAACTCTATCTCACAGATGCATAAGGTGGAAGGAAAAAAAAGATTCATAGGATGCATAAGGTGGAAAAACTGAAGTCCCCAAAGGATCTTTCAATCTGGCCCTGATTTCCGAAGATGGAGATACTAAGGTCCACAGCCAGCGGGGCTGGGCGAGGGGTACCCAGGAGCGGGTCAGAGAACCATGCTCTGTGCCACCCCAGCCCTTCTGGAATGATGCTCTTTGCCACCCCCGCCACCATACCCACACACTGTTCAGTGCTTTCCTCAACCCATATATAAGGGCACTTCCTCCCACCATGTAGGGACCAAAGTAGAGGGCAAGACTCAGGGTCGTTTCTATTCGAGAAGGTTCTACTAACAAACAGGAGGCCTCGTGTTGTTAGTTGGGTTGGTTTTTCATCCATGCCTCATGCCCATCTTTGATCAAGTCTCACCATCAGTGCAGAGGCTGGGTTACCCCATAACCTGAGGATTCTTCAGCACTTGAGTCCTGTGAGCCTGTGAATGCTGTCACAATTCTTTACTAGGGGCAGGGTTCTCTTGTTCCCTACACTGCTCAGTGTCTGGCCACTAGAAGCCAAAAACTCTTGACTCCTCGTCCTGACCCTTGGGCCCGGAGGCCCCACTACAATCTATAACCAGTTACCTGAATTATTGGAGTTGCTGTATTTTGCTGAATGCTCTTCACTGTTCTCAATCGCAGATCGTTTTGACTTCTTTCAAAATAAGAGAGAGAGATGGAGGGCAGCAAAGGATAAACACACTGAAGCCAAGAGTTAGAACACAAATATTTTCCAGGCACACAGTGAAACTAGCTACATACGAGGTCGTATTTGGCCTCATAACTTAATAAAGTTAAGAAGCCACGAGCCACAACCAAAAAGGGGAATAAAACCAAGAACGCTGAGTTTACTATCTCAGGCCAGTCATTCTCCCCAATTACATTAGGCTGTAATCATCCCAGCAAGCCAGGAAACTATACGGTCCATTTCTCCACTGATATTATGCGGCTCTTTTTTAAAAGCTGCAAATCAGTCATCTGGAAATAGTTTTAGCTTTCAAGGAGATATAGCACAAAATCTTGTCATTAACTAAATGTGCACTATTAACCTACAGCTTTCTTCACATGTAGCCAAGAATTTGCAAAGAGGGGACGCCTGGGTGGCTCAGTTGGTTAAGCATCTGCCTTCGGCTCAGGTCATGATCTCAGCGTCCTGGGATCGAGCCTGGCCATCTGGCTCCCTCCTCAGGGGGGAGCCTGCTTCTCCCTCTCCCCCACTCATGCTTTCTCTCTTTCTCTCATAAATAAAAAAAATCTTAAAAAAAAAAAAAAAGAATTCACAGAGAATCCAGAGACACCACGCTTACCTTTCGAGCTAAAATCTTTCTCTTTTTCCTTTCTTCTTCAGATCCATGGTGAGACTGAGCTCTTGTCAGTCTTCGATGCTGGTGAATCTTTGAGAGACCACAATTCATCACAAATGTAAGTGTATCCTACATCAGTGAAAATCTCTAACATGTTTTGCCAAATCAAGTTATTTTGGATGAAAATTTTGTCCTTCCTCAGCCTGTCACCTCCAAGCCTGGGTCTGGATGTCTGAGAGAAGAGTCTGCCAGAAGCTAAAGATCTTTCTCCTTTCCCTCTGTTCCTTCCTGCCCTTTGCTCCTCTATGGAAGACAAGTGTGGCTCCCAGCACCTTCAGAGCAAGGACAACGTGTGGCCCCTACCTCTACCCAGCCTGCCCCAATCATAAAGGAAGACCATGTGTTATGGATGTGCTTGTCTCCCCCACAGGCTCAGCACCTTGAGGGCAGGACTTGTGAAGTAATCGGCAACCTCACAACATTGAGCATGAAGCCTGGTTCAGAGCAAGGATGCAAGAAATGTTTATGGAATGAACAACCAATCAAAGGTAAGTCACCGTGAATACGGCGGCAAAGGATGGGGACACTAAAAGATCAAAAGCCAGTAAGGAGCTAGTAACATGTACCTGTTTCTGTTCTTCAATTAGTCTTTTCTCTATACATTCTTTGGCGATTCTCAATGCCTCTTTTAACTTTGTGGGGATCTGAAAGAAGAGAAAGTACATAACCCACTGAGTAAAATGGCCAGAGATTCTCTTAAGCCCTGGTTTTAATACAGGACTTAATTGGTTGGTTATCATGAAGGAGGGAGTCTGCTGTAGAGCCAGGGGGTGGCCTGAGTGGCTCAGTGGGTTAAAGCCTCTGCCTTAGGCTCAGGTCATGGTCTCAGGGTCCTGGGATCGAGCCCCGCATCGGGCTCTCTGCTCAGCCGGGAGCCAGCTTCCCTTCCTCTCACTCTGCCTGCCTCTCTGCCTATTTGTGATCTCTGTCTGTCAAATAAATAAATAAAATCTTAAAAAAAAAAAAAAAAGAACCAGTCACAGGTACCCACTTGAATACTATCCATCCCCACCATGCTCACTGCAGTACCATTTTTTAGTAATGAATATATGAAACGTGTAAATAAACACGACATGTTTCAAGTAACTCAAGTAACTCAAGGGGCCCTAAATGGCAAAACAATCTTGAAACAGAAGATCGAAATTGGAAGCATCACACTTCTCGATTTCAAAATATATTACAAAACTACAATAATCAAAATAATGTTCTATTGGCATACAGACAGATACATGGACCAAGAGGACAGAATAGAGAGCCTAGAAATAAAACTCTCATGTGGTATAAGGTGAAATGATATTTGAGCAGGGTGCCAAAAATACATGGTAGAGAAAGGACAGTGTCTTCAATAAATGGTGCTGGGAAAATTGAATGTGAAAGAATGAAGCTGGACCCTCACCTTATGCCATGTGCAAAAATTAACTCAAAACTGGACTGAAGACCTGAAACTATAAAACTCCTAGAACACAACAGAAGCTTTAAGATATTGGATCTGACAATGATTTTGGATAAGACCCCAAAAGCACAGTCAAGAAAAGCAAAAACAGACAGATGGAACTTTCTAGAAACTTCTGCATATCAAAGGAAATAATCAGTAGAGTAAAAATGAACTTATAGTATGGGAGGAAATAATTGGGAATCATATATTAACAAGGGGTAAGAGCCAAAATATACAAAGAACTCTTATAACCTGACAAAAGAAAATAAATAACCTGATGGAAAAAAACAGATGTGTCACAAAAAAATAGATGATACCAGAATAAAGCTTGAAAAAAAAAAGATTAGAAAATCTAAGAGGAAAAAAAAAAAAAAACCAAAAAACAGGCAAAGGACCTGAAGAGACATTTCCTCAAAGAAGATTTAACAATGGGCAACAAGTGTATGAAAAGACTAATCAACATCTCTCATTAGAGGAATGTAAATCGAAACCATGCTGAGATACCACCTCACACACATTAGGATGGTCATTATTGCAAAAGCAGAAAATAACAAGTGTTGGCGAGGACAGGGAGAAATTGGAGCCCTCATGCACTGACAGTGGGAACGTAAAATGGTGTGGCTGCTGTGGAAGACACCACAAAGTTTCTCGGAAGGCTAAAAATAGAAATACCACATGATCTAGCAATCTCACTTCTGGGTACATATCCCAAAGACTGGAAAGCAGGGTCCTGAAGAGATATGTGCACACCCAAGTTCACTGCATTATTCACAATAGCTGAGAGGTGAAAAAAGCTCAAATGTCCATCGATAAAGGAATGGATAAACGAAATGTGGTATGTGCATACAGTAGAATAGTATTCAGCCTTCAAAAAGAAAAGAAAAGAAAAGAAATCCTGGGGAACCTGAATGGCTCAGTGGGTTAAGTGTCTGCTTTCGGTTTAGGTCATGATCCCAGGCCCTGGGATCGAGCCCCACATCGGGCTTCCTGCTCAGCAGGGAACTTGCTTTTCCCTCTCTCTTTGCTCTCTCCCTCTCTCTCAAATAAATAAATAAAATCTTAGAAAAAAAAAAAAAGGACATCTTGTTACATGAACACAGAGGACATTACACTGAGTGAAATGAGCCAGTCACAAAAGAACAAATACTGTAAGCTTCCGGGTATATAAGCCATCTGAAATAGTCAAAGTTATGGAAGCAGAAAGAAGTGTATTTGCCAAGGGCTGGGGATGGGTTAATGGGGGAGTTGTCTGATGGGTCTTGAGTTTCAGTTACTGAGATAAAAATGTTCTAGGAGTATGTTACACAACAAATATGAACACAGTTAACAGTACTAAAGTGTACACTTAAAAATGGTTAAGAGCGGGGCGCCTGGGTGGCTCAGTGGGTTAAGGCTCTGCCTTTGGCTCAGGTCATGGTCTCAGAGTCCTGGGATCGAGCCCCACGTGGGGCTCTCTGCTCAGCAGGGAGCCTGCTTCCCCCCCTCTCTCTGCCTGCCTCTCTGCCTACTTGTGATCTCTCTCTGTCAAATAAATAAATAAAACCTTTTTAAGAAAATGGTTAATAGGATAACTTTTATGTTTTTTATCATAATGAAAATAAAAAATATATACAGCTTATTGGAACACACACAAACCAATTCAATTAATCATCATATTTTATAACTTCAGAGAAATTTTCTCTATGAAAGATTTATTTTCTGTATTTCATAAGCTTAAGCTTTTTCCTGCCGGAAGATATTCTTTTTTTCTTTTTCTTTTTTTTTTTTTTGAGAGCTAGAGGGTGGAGCAGAGGGAGAGAGAGAATCCTAAGCAGGCTCCAGCACAGAGCCCGATGTGGGGCTTGATCCTACAATCCTGAGATGATGAGCCGAGCTGAAATCAAGAATCGGATGCTCAATGGACTGAGCCTCGCAGGCGCCCCCTGCCAGAAGATACTCTTCCGGAAGATACTCTTCTAGCCTGGTACCTGGTATGCTTCTGAGCCTGTTGTTTCTTCAGGCCTGGGAAACTGACAGCTGGATCATGTTCAACTTTCTGTCTCTATTCTTCTTCTTTTTTTTTTTTTAAGATTTTATTTATTTGACAGACAGAGATCATAAGCAGGCAGAGAGGCAGGCAGAGAGAGAGGAGGAAGCAGGCTCCCTGCTGAGCAGAGAGCCCAATGCGGGGCTCAATCCCAGGATCCTGGGATCATGACCTGAGCCGAAGGCAGAGGCTTTAACCCACTGAGCCACCTAGGCGCCCCTGTGTGTATTATTCTTTTAAAAATTAAAATTTAAAAACCTTTGAATAGGTAATGTGGTTCAAAATTCAAAGATATGAAAGGATACATACATAGTAAAGAGTCTGCCAATGCGTTCTCCTTCATGGAGGCAACCAATGTCACCAGTTTCTTGTGTATCTTTCCAGAAAGAATGTACATACACAAGAAATTAACCTTGATTTTTAAATCACGTTGTCATTGTTGCAAAGACTCTCTGGTTCAGAGAAAGAACAAGGTCTAGTAATAATTCCTAGGCTGGATAGGGTTGGGGAGAGCATATTTATTTACAAGGCCGAATGTATTTCCTGGGCAGTTTCAGTGAAGAAGAGATGGATTTAAATGTTTTTCTTTCCTACTTCAGATTCAAACAAGCTATTTTTGTCAAACTCCTCTGGCAAAACAGGACAAAGGAAAATGTTTTCCTCTCCTGTACAATCTTCTGACCCCACCTTGTTTTTGTTTTTCCTAAACAAATTTCATCATAATAATATCACATGTTCTTCTGGAATATGGAGAGGAGGAAGAATCCCCCTTCATCCTACTGCCCAGAACAGAACTGACCTCGAGCCCTGAGGAGAGCCAGTCCTGCCCCCCGACGCCACCCAGGTGCCCATATGGGCCATCTCAGTTGACCAAGAACAATAAACAGGTGTTACTCACCAGTTGTACACACTGAGTAAATATCAACTCAAAGACCAGGCCCATAGATGAGAGATCTCAAATAGGGGTTGTTTTGCTCCCTTCCCTCCCTAGGGGACATTTGCCGATTTTTTGAGACATTTTTTATCATCACAATGTCTGGGGTGGAAGGGAAGTGCTGTTTGCATCTAGTGGGTACAGGCCAGGGAAGTTGCTTCATGTCCAACAATGCACAAGACTGCCCCACAACAAACTATCTGATCCAAAATGTCAAATGTTGTGTATGATGGGACACCTGGGTGGCTTAGTCGGTTAAGCATCTGCCCTTGGCTCACGTCACGATCCCAGAGTTCTGGGATCGAGCTCCCCATGGGGCTTCCTGCTTAGTGGGGAGCCTGCTTTTCCCTCTCCCTGCTGTTCTCCCTGCTTGTGCTTTCTCTCTGACAAATAAATAAAACCTTTAAAAAAATGTCATGTCTGAGAAAAGCAGCCATAGATAAATGGCTAGTTATTAAAAAAAAAAAAAAGCAAAGTAAGGCATCATCCTGAGTTTTTTCGGGTTCTAAAGCCCCTACTCGTCCCGTGATACCACACGACGCTGCTACTTCCCAGGATTTTCCTTGCTAACTTTCTGCTAGACAAGTTATTCTTTTTACACATTGTATTTTTATCTTGCTTGTCTTTCCACCTTAGCCCAAACAGTCGTTTTCCATGCTACTACAATGTCTTTATAAATTTTATTTTCATTAGATAAAAAAATTTTGTCAAACAGATACACCATAAATTCTTAAATTAGTCCCTCATTATAGAGTATTTAGATTGTTTTCAAGTGCTCGCTTTGGCAGCACAGATACTAGAATGTTTTCAAATTCTCACTATTATAAACTCTGGACCTAAACTTCCAGTTATAAAATTAATAAGCCATATTCATTACAACATAGAGGATATAGTCAATATTTTAATGACTTTGTGTGGTAATAGATGGTAACTAGACTTATTGTTGGGATCATTTCATAATATATAAAAAATATCAAGTCACTTTGATGTACACAGACTAAGAGGATATTGCATGTTACCTGTATGTCAATTAAAAAAAATACTGTACCTTCTCTTGTTTGATTAAAAAAAGCACTAACTTGACACACAGATGGCCAATGTCTAATGAGAAGGTGCTCAACATCACTAATCACGGAAATGCAAATCAAAACCACAGGAGGTATCACCTAACATCTGTTGCAAAGGCTGGTATCACAAAGACAAGATAACAACTGCTGGAGAGGATGTGGAGAAAAAAGAAACCTTTATACTATAGGTGGAGATGTAAATTGGGAAAATAGTATGGAGGCTCCTCAAAAAATTAAAAATAGAACTACCAAATGATCCAGCAATTCCACTTCTGGCTATTTATCTGAAGGATATGAAAACACTGAATCAAAAGATATGCACTGGGGCACCTGGGTGGCTCAGTGGGTTAAAGCCTCTGCCTTCAGCTCAGGTCATGGTCCCAGGGTCCTGGGATCGAGCCCCGCACCGGGCTCTCTGCTCAGCAGGGAGCCTGCTTCCTCGTCTCTCTGCCTGCTTCTCTGCCTACTGTGATCTCTGTCTGTCAAATAAATAAATAAAATCTTTAAAAAAAAAAAAGATATGCACTTCCATGTTCACTGCAGCATTATTTATACCACGACATGGAAACAATGGTTGTCTAAGTGTCATCAGTGAATGAATGGATTAAGAAAATGTGGGTATATACAATGGAATATTACTTGGCCATAAAAAAGGAAATCCTGGGATGCCTGGGTGGCTCAGTCGGTTAAGCAGCTGCCTTCTGCTCGGGTCTTGGTCCCAGGGCCCAGGGATCGAGTCCCACATCGGGCTCCCTGCTCAGTGTGCAGACTGCTTCTCCCTCTCCTTCTGCCTCTCCCCCTGCTCCTGCTCGCTTGCACTCTCTCTCAAATAAAGAAATAAAATCTTTAAAAAAAAAAAGGAAATCCTTTCATTTGCAACAACATGAATGGAGCTTGGGGGCATTATGCTAAGTGAAATAAGTTGGAGAGAGAAAGACGAATACCATATGATCTCATTTATATGTGGGCTCTAAAAACAAAACCAAACCTGAACTCATAGAGAACACACTGTTCACAGAGAACAGAATGGTGGTTGCCAGGTCGGGAGGATGGGGCAGATGAAACAGGTGGAGGGGGCAAAAGGTACAAACTTCCAGTCCCAAAATAAGTTAAGTCATAGGGACATAATGTACAGTATGGTGACTATTATTAAGATACTATATTGTATACTTTAAAGTTGCTAAGAAAGTAAATCTTTTTTTTTAAGAAAGTAAATCTTAAAAATTCTCACCACAAGAAGAAAAGAATTTTAACTATATATAGTGACAGATGTTAACTAGACTTACTGTGGAGATGACTTCATAATGTACACGAATATCAAGTCATTATGTTGTTGGACATCTGAGACTAACATAATGTGGCATGTCAATTCTACTTCAAAAATTCTTTTAAAAGCACTAAGTTTCAACATCAACTTATATATGTCACAAACCAAAAAAAAATGGTATGATTTGCTTTACCTTAAACTGTGGCTTTTCAGAAGTGGTTAGTAAAACATCACTGAATAATCTGTTAAGAAAAGAAACAAACAAAATCTTTCTTAAGCCAGATGTCCTCTCAGAACAGGATCAAAACAGAATGAGACATCTTTAGGCCATGAGGTTCCCACGTTCCCCAGCCCTGGCCCAGTCCACCATTTCATGCTGATCGACACACTCAAAGTTTACAGGCCACCCAATGTGACCACAGAAAAAGCTCAGCACCTCCTCACTGCCCCCCAGTATCAGAGGTGCTACCAAGGAGAGACTGGGTCAGCCCTGTACTGAAGACTATTTCCCCACATGGCAGGGCAATGGTCCTCTTATGCTATAGAATAAAGTAATAAACACTTTCAAAAATTAGTTTTGCAAATTATTATTTTATTATATTATTATATTTATATTTATTATATTGTAAATAATTTATGCAGTAGATATTTTTAAACAGAATAACTGATTTCCCCCCTTTTTTATTAAACCCTAGAAAAGGATAAAATTTATTCTGTGGGGGGCACAGTCAGTTAAGTGTCCGACTCTTGGTTTCAGTTCAGGTCATGATCTCTGGGTCGTGAGATTAAGCCCTATACTGAGCTCCATGCTCAGCGTGGAGTCTGCTTAAGATGCTCTCTCTCTCTGTCTCCCTTGCCCTCTGCCCCTCACCCCTGCTCTCGCTTTCTCTCTCTCTTAAATAAATAAATCTTAAAAAAAATTATTCTAGAGCTCAGTAAAATAAAAATGTTAAGTAGAAAGACACTGTTCTGATTGGAATCTAACAAGAAAATAATTTTCTTCTAAGAAGTATTTCTTAAATTCTCTTTAAAAAAAAAACAAAAAAAACTGGGGTGCCTGGGTGGCTCAGTGGGTTAAGCCTCTGCCTTCAGCTCAGGTCATGATCTCAAGGTCCTGGGATCAAGCCCTGTATCAGGCTCTCTGCTCAGCAGGGACCCTGCTTCCCCCCTCTCTCTGCCTGCCTCTCTGCCACTTGTGATCTCTCTCTCTGTCAAATAAATAAATAAAATCTTAAAACAACAACAAAAACAACAACAAACCAGGGGACTCTGGGTGGCTCAGTTGTTAAGCGTCTGCCTTCAGCTCAGATCATGATCCCAGGGTCCTACAATCAAGCCCCACATCAAGCTCTCTGCTCAGTGGGAAGCCTGCTTCTCCCTCTCCCATTCCCCCTGCTTGTGTTCCCTCTCTCTGTCAAATAAATAAACAAAACAAATAAATAAAATCTTTTTTTAAAAAGGCAGCTTTTAGAGTATATCAATTTTCTCTTCCAAAATTATGTGACTAGAAACAACAGCATGAGGAATTCTGAGCTACTTCGGCTAAGACAGTTTGGGGAATTTACATGGCTGCTTGGGCAGTGCCCCCATGGCTGTGCAGGAGCCTTGCCTTGAGGAGTCCCCTTTTTAAAAAATAGGAAATACTTCACAAGTAGAAATGATACAGTTAACTTTTCCCCACAGTGCTCCCTGGGCGGCTCTGGCAGTAGAGACAGAACTCTCCCCATCAAGGGCACAGGCCCATTTACTTCCAGAAAACGCATTTTAACTGAACAGAGTTCACGCCTCTTCAAGTATTCTTCTCAAGACTGAAGGCCGCAGGGCAGAAAGACCTCAGTGAGGAAAAAAACAATGTGGCTTCCCTTTGGACTTGGATGGCTGGGAGGAGAATGGAAGAGGTCTGGACCATGGGGGCTACAAACACAAACCCAAGTACATCAGCATGAATCTGGGTTGTTCCCCAACTACAAAGGCATTTTCTTTATTTTTTATTATTTTTTAAAGATTTTATTTATTTATTTGACAGACAGAGATCACAAGTAGGCAGAGAGGGAAGCAGAGAGAGAGGCATAAGCAGGTTCCCTGCTGAGCAGAGAGCCCGATGCAAGGCTGGATTCCAGGACCCTGGGATCATAACAAGCCGAAGGCAGAGGCTTTAACCCACTGAGCCACCCAGGCGCCCCAAAGGCATTTTCTTTTAAAATGAGTTTGTGCGAAAATTGTTTCATTTCCCTAATTGGGTCTATTCTTCCATATTCACACTGTTATTAAAGGTGGCTGCTTGGGAGAGGGACACACCAGTGTCAGCTGAACTTTAAAAGGTCATATCCATGGGCAGGGGCGGGGCGGGGGCGGCGTCAGGGGTTGGGGCAGCTCCCACACTCTCTGACGGCATGGAGCTCCTCTGAGCTCTGGCCTTATGCATTCAAGCTAAGCCCTGCCCTGCTTCCCCGCATCACTGTTTCCTGAGAACATCTGCTATGTGGCAAGCTGGCACAGACGATGCACTGGGTGTGCCGCGGATATGTGCCACTCACAAAATAGACGCTGAATCAATAGTCATCATGACTAACATTCGCTAAGCGCTACACCAGGAATCGCCTCATTCACTCCTCCCAACGATCCTCTCCGGTGGGGCCCACTACCAGTCCTATTTCCCAGACGGGGAGCCTCAGCTTCCAGACACAGGAAAGCTGCCCCAGGTCACCCTCCCCACCCAGAAGTGGGGAGGCTGGGTGCACCCCCAGCTCTGTCTAACTTCAGACACACCCTTCTCAGCCATGCTGCTGCGCTCTCCAAGAAGGGACAGAAAGCAGAGCTACAGGCAAAGCCCTGCAGCACTATTTCAATGGTCCTGATGAACTAGTCATAACCTAGTCTAAGGGAGAATAACCCAGTCTAAGGGAGAACGTCTTCTGTGCTCCAAGCCCCTAACACAATGCCTGGTACAAGTCAGATGTGTAACCCATGTTACCCCGGGAGCAGAGGAACAAAGGTGCGTAGGGTGGGCCAGAAAGCCGCTGCCCTCCTCCTAGAGGGCACAACCAGCCACAGCTGAGGGCCAGCTGGTGCGCGGAACAGGGCCATGAAGGACAGTGCTCCAGCAGGCTGTCCGTCAGAATGTTCTAAGTGGGGGTGGGTGGGTGGGGGCACATGTACACACATATGACACTAACATCGACAGGGAGAGACACACGTGAAGATGTGGACATCAAGGGACAGCGATCAGACGACAGCAGCGAACAGCTCATGATATCATGCTGCAAGTGACTGACAACAAGCATGTCACTTCGACTCCACAAGGACCACACCTGAGTCTACTATGGCGCCAGGCCCCTGGCTTCGCGGTCCAGCGTTCTACACAGTTAGGAAGGTGACAAACAAGGCGTGTGATCGACTTACGGCATCTGTAAGAGCCGGGAGACGGCAGGCATGCCATTTTTACAGGCTTCACAAGACAGCGTGGACTCCAACACGGCCACTTGAAATGAACAGATACACATTTTAGTTCCACAGAACATGCTGGCAAATCCGCTTGGTGATGAAAAGTTTGACACCACTTGGCAACAACTGTCTGCAGGCTGATCAGGACGGTGTCAAAACTCTTCACGCACAGACAGATGGCATACATGGGGGAGGGGAACGCTGGCAACACCATGTTACCGATGGCTCAAAATAAATGGCTCAGAAACCACATGCTGATAGAAAGCTAAATATATGTCAAAGATAATTGGAGGAAGGATTCCAGATATCATTCATAGAAGTGTTTGCTCTCTTAAAAGAAAAGTAAACACTACACAGAAAATTCTGAACTTGGAAAACATTTTGCTGCTTGCTTTCTTTTTAATCAAAACTGGCACACAAAATGCCAATTGTTGACGTCTCATCATCCAACACCTTGGATGATATAAACAAAAGCAGCCAGATTTTTCTACTCACAGGTCACTGTTCAGTTTCAGCTGTTCACACTCAACACAGGCCCAGTAGTCTTGGGGCCTGTACTCTTGAACCACTACTTTGACACAAAACTAGCACTTGGTGGGGGTTAACTTGCACATCTCATAGGCTCAGTGGTCCGAGAGCTACCCTGCCCTCCCCTCTTGGTGCTGCTTTAACAGTGAGTTCTGGGCGGGCTATGGATGGGATGAAAGGGTCCCTGGATTAAGTCTGCATCAGTCCCCATGTCCCGCTCCCAAAAGTGTCTCCCACCTGTCCTCTGGCCCTCCTCAGTCCCCTAAGTAAGGCTGGAAGAACGCCGGGATCCAATCTGCCAGGTGTTTATATTCCTGCCTCCCTTTCCCTGCTCTCGGCCTGCCAGCCTTTTATCTACCAGATGTCCAGCCCGTGGCTCTCTTGTCCCTTGCAGGTCCCACTCCAGCCTTGGTCTGGCCCTTGACACCTGCCCCAGTTGAAAGGCTGGCTTCAATTTGCCTGCTCCTAGCTTCTGCTTCTATATCAGACTCGGTCTGGACAGATTTCTCTTTACAACCTCCCAGTTCCAAAATTTGAATGCAGTTACAGTATGTTTCCTGAGGTTTTAGATAGCCCGACAAATGGACAAACCATCTGAATTTTTAGTGAGGTGAATTTAAATAAATCACTCAGACCTGGTTTACTTTTATAAACTGGGTTTGGCTGGCTATGGAACATGGCAACTTCCTCTGGGTCCTTCCTGGACTTTGGAAAGGGGGTGAGTAGCTCTGTGGACTACCAGGGCCCATTAGACTCCTTCAAAGCCCATACTGACCCACAGCCATAGACGGTGCAGGAGGGAAGGAATCTACAGGCACTGAGTCTGGCGGTCTTCCATAAGTCATTTCATACAGTAAGTGGCCAAAGCAGTGGACGTCCATGCTTTCCAATGTCTGTGGAAGACAAGAGAGCAGGGTGGTTATCTTTCAGCTTGGCTTTGTGAATCCCAGTGTTCCTTCCCTAGGCTTTCACCAAGAAAAACATGGCTCAGGGGCAACCCCGCCCATTACTGGTAGTGAAAACACAACTCCAAGGCCTTTTGCAAAAGCTCACAGGGCACTGCTCTGACCCAAGGTCCTGGTCCTACTCCCCATTCTTTTCCAGTCCATGATTCTATGTCCCTCCTTATCTCATCTAGCATTTCAACAAGGCACTTAAAAAGATAGAGCGGAACTCTGTGAGAGAACAGAGCCAACAGGCCTGGTCTACCCTGCATATTTCTTACATGGGCAGATCATGGGTCCTGCCAGGGGGATCATTTATACCTAAAAATTAATCTCCTGTTCTCGTTACTTCTAGCAACTTACGTTGATTTTCCTGAATTGTGAGAAATAGGATCGGTAGAAGGAAGGAAGGCCTAATAAGGAATTTTCAAGGTCTAGCAGCCGGCAAGTGTCACCATCGAGCATCACATTGGAGGCGTGAAGATGTCCATAAGGGAATCCCTTGTCATGTAGAAACTTCAGTACCTATTTAAAAAAATATGCAGAGGTTACGTTTCCCCCCCAACTCATTCAGTTATGAGACAGGTTAAACTTCGTTTTTTAAGTCACTATATTTTTAAACAATACTGGTTACTGAGGAGATTCCTAAAGAAAAATGCCCTCTCCATCCATTCTTTGGAAAAGGGGGTGATGCTGAATGCTTTCCAGCTATGAGACCCAACTCCAAGCTCCCTCATTTCCAAAGAACAGAGATGCAGCTCTGTTAACCCAAAGCTTGAGGTTAACAGCTTTAATGTTCAACTTCCAGCACTTTCTGATCTCAACAGGCCAGCTCCTTGCAGGCCAACGTCTTGATCCTCCCGCACAGATGAGTAAGGCTAACATGGCAGGGCATCAGCCAGTTAGTTGTTCAGGAAAAGGGGTTGAGCAAAAAATATCCCTAGTCCAATCTCTTCTCAGAATATATTGTGCTGGGGGTGCCTGGGTGGCTCAGTTGTTAGGCATCTGCCTTTGGCTCAGGTCATGACCCCAGGGTCCTGGGATCAAGCCCTGTATCAGGCTCCCTGCTCATCAGGGAGTTTGCTTTTCCCTCTCCCACTCCCCCTGCTTGTGTTCCCTCTCTCGCTTTGGCTCTCTCTGCTTCTCCCTCTCTCACTCCCCCTGCTTGTATTCCCTCGCTTGCTGTGTCTGTCAAAAAATAAATAAAATCTTAAAAAAAAAAAAAGAATATATTAGGCTGTTTATTAAGAGGAACACATGACAGGCTCCCACAGAAAGAAGCAAACCTTTCAGCTGCCATTTATTAAACAGAGTCTCACCTACAAAGGGAGATGCCTGGAGATACACCCATAACAACCTTATGAACTAGAGCAGTGCTAGCCAAAGGGGGACCCAGGACAATCTACTGAGAACTGGAAGAAAATAAGACAACTTCTCTTTCTATTTGCTTGTTTTTAATCTCCTTCTTTCTGGGGCTCCTGGGTGGCTCAGTTGCTTAAGTGTCTGCTCTTGATTTCAGCTTGGGTCTTGATCTCAGGGTCAAGAGAGCCTGTGTTGGGCTCCGCACTGGGCGTGGAGCCTACTTAAAAAAAAAAAAAAAAACAACAAAAAACCTCCTTCTTTCCTAACTTAACTTATAATACACAACATATATTAGTAGTAGTGCATGCATATAAGTTATTATTGGGGGGGGGTTATGCTTAAACTATTTTCACTGATAAGGTCGGACAATCCAAGAAGCCTGGAGAACAAGGCTCTAGAGAGTGATATGGGAAAGGTTTTTCATGCGTTTCACTTTTGCAAGGGAGCCAGATGGTTATGTACTGATATAACAAAATCAACAATCCTGGCACAAAGATAAAGATCAACCAAACATAACACAAAAGTTGGTATCTGCACAGTGAAGTTCTTAAAAATCAGACACTAAATTCTAATAGCTAAGCTTTTGGAATTTTTGTGGATCTGAATTGGCTGCCTTAGTCTCAAATACTTGCTTTTGGGGCTAAAATAGGACAATGCCATCTGTTTATAAGCAATCCCAAGAACTTTCCCAAAGGAATACAGTAATCTGAGTGAAATCCCAATGCAACCTAAGCAAATATTAAATACCTCTTACCTCTAATATTTGCCGTCCGTATGTTTTTATTTGCTGGAGTTCAAGGCCCTGAATCTTCTTAGGGTTGCAGTACTTCTTTAGGAATGGGTCTTTTGGTTTTGCCTTTGGAAAAGCACAAAGAGCATATAAGAGAACAGCAGCGGGTCTGACTACCACACGTAGCCTCCTGGAACAGGCAGGGCTCTAAGCAGCTGGGGGTGCCAGATGAGGTCAGCTCACAGGATGTGGGTTTTTAAAGTATAAGAGTCTGTGCAGTTGATAGAAAGAGGCTGACCTGAGTTGCATCCCTTCTCTGGTCCAGTGAAGATGGGCCTGGTCTTGGCCTTAGCAGACCCCAGAGTCTTATTTTCCAACTTTACTGAGATAGTTCAGTATTGCTCATTAAATGAAAGACACAAACTTTAAAACTGACCTGAGAGAGCAGCCTACAATGTCATGTACATAACCATTACCTATTCAACCTTCTTTCATTTGGGGAAAGGAATGCTCTTTAACCAGACAGGGTAGTTTTACTGATAAAATCAAAATAAATTCCAAATCAAATCAAAATTAAAATAAAACCCTTAGGGCCTAACTTCCGGAACCTGAGAGATCAAGAATCTGTGATAGGTTCTGAAGGGACTTGAGAACTTCTTTATGACCATGAACTTGCACCACAAGTACCTTGTAGATCAGGTCCTTCAAAGTTCCTTTTTCATTAAACATCCTAATAAGCAATGCAGAGGATTCGTTAGCTGTGGCAAAGGTGACCCGATAGATATAAGGGTGCTGCCAAAACAAAAAAGAAATTCACATTTATTTGCATCAGCATCTGGGTCCTTTGAGATCAAGAATCTGGTTACGTAGACTTAAGTACCCTCACAGCACTTTAGTCGCAAATAAATGTGCGGATGTTCCCTGAACATGTGGCATTTTCTTATCAGATGATCAATAAACACATCGTTCTTAAAATGAGAGAAGGAACCTAAACTATACAGACAAAGGGACATGGACAGCTGGCACGGCGAGCTCTCCATGTGAAGGTATATGCCTGGGGATACACATGCTCGGAGCTCAGGCAGAGGTCTGGGGGATAATGGTTTTAATATTCTGCCTCTGTACGTTGGTAGAGAATACAGACAAACCCTAGCACAGCCAAGTGAGGACCAAGACAAATGTGTCTTCATTTACAGCGCTGCGTAACATTTCACACTGCTGTTTGGGGCCAAGCCAGGGAGCGTAAAAGCCAGAAAACAAGCAAAAAAGCCACATCTTTTGGCATCGTGGCCCTTATCCAAAGCAGCTAGCATGAATCTTCCCATCCATTTTCTGCAGGGTGCAGTGTGATGACTCACGGTTGTCTTCCTGAGAAGGAGCCACTGACGTCAACCAAGTGGGGTGGAGAGTAAAACTAATTATTTAATGACTGAAAGTCCTCATATGACCTGGAATTTTGGTTGTATGAACCAACTGGCTTCAAACAGGTGTTACATGTCCATTTGCTCAAACGAGCACCATTATAATTTAAACCCATAGGAGCTGAGCTGTGCAAAGGTTTGTCAGGGTTCAGACTGAGTGGGCTGGGGGATGGAAGGGTATGCCTAGAAAAATATAGTTCTTGATCATGAAGTTTCTTCTGACCTTCACATCAAAATGATTATTATTGATCCTGTAACAGCTGTATTAAAATATAATTCTTATATATATGAATATATATGATATTAACATATATTCATATATATTCATATCTATATAATTCATATACCATTATAATTCACCTATTTATAGTATACAATTCAATGGTTTTCAGTATATTCCGAGCTGTATAAACTACCACACAATCTAACTTTAGAACACTTTCATCGCCCCAAAAAGGAACCCAATGAATAAAATAAAAATCGTTGAGTCCATACTGATATAAACAGACCAAGAGGAGAGAATAAGAAGCTCTTCCTTACAGTATGTCAACTGATAAATCTAAGAGGAATGATGGTGTTGGAAAATCTCAATGAAGCTAAAGCTAGTAGGGCTTTGGTAAGAACAGGATATTTATACAGTCTCAAAATACCTCCCTTATTAATTCTTGTTATTTATTTAATGAAGATAATTAAGGATGGGTACAAATATTTAGCCTGAATTGTTCACTGTGGCTTTTTTCCTTTTTAAATAAGAAGAAAAAACTGGAAGTGGTCCAACTGTCTCGCAGAAGATTAGTTGAATAAATGGAGGTAAGGCCAACGATAGTCTATGCAACCAGTAATAATGATGTTATACCATATTTATTCCATAAAAGATGTGTATGATATATCATTAACCAAAAAACCAGGTTTTAAAACAGTATATGTGTAATTTTTCAAAAAAATAACCATATAAAGTTCTAGACATTTTGGTTTGCTTGGGACTGCAGGTGAGTTTTCTTTTCTTATTTTTGCTTATCCATATTTTCTAACTTTTCTACAATTAATACGCACCACTTATCTGTACCACCTTTTTATTTTTTTTTATTTTTTATTTTTTTTAAAGATTTTATTTATTTATTTGACAGAGAGAGATCACAAGTAGACAGAGAGGCAGGCAGAGAGAGAGAGAGAGAAAGAGGGAAGCAGGCTCCCTGCCGAGCAGAGAGCCCGATGCGGGACTCGATCCCAGGACCCTGAGATCATGACCTGAGCCGAAGGCAGCGGCTTAACCCACTGAGCCACCCAGGTGCCCCCACCTTCTTTTTTTAAAAGCACAACCTTTAAAGGAAATTTGGAATTGAATACTGAGATCCTGTGGCACACAACTAATCACGCACAAAGACCACGGCATTTTTCTTGGCTACACTGCGCACCTCATTAGAAGCTTGGTTTTGCTAGCTTGACAAGACACTCTATCTTCAAAAATGAACCTGCCTACCCAACTGGATAGGTCAACATAATTGTGCTCATGAATGACTCATTCTAGGGTCCTACATCCTCATGCAGACCACAGATAAAGAACATCAAATTAACTGGCTTTTCTGGCCAGATTAGTCTTTTCCTGAAGACATTGTGCATATATTCTGAAATACAGTGATATATTTTCTTTCCACTAACGGCCTTGGATCAGAACTGTACATTAGCATAAATAATGCCAGGCACTCCTAAAGGCCAACTAGCTGGCCTGTGAGAATAGTGATTCAGACAGCAAAAGGGCTCTTTGTGCCTTCCCTCACCCAGCTTATCTAAATCCAAACTAGTTCTGTTTTCTCAGACTAGAAACAGATATTTCCTTCTTTTTTTTTTTTTTTAAAGATTTATTATTTATTTGACAGATCACAAGTAGGCAGAGAGGCAGGCAGAGAGAAAGGAGGAAGCAGGCTCCCTGCTGAGCAGAGAGCCCGATGTGGGGCTTGATCCCAGGACCCTGAGATCATGACCTGAGCCGAAGGCAGAGGCTTTAACCCACTGAGCCACCCAGGTGCCCCTAGAAACAGATCTTTCAATTCCACTGATACAAACATCCTTACTGAGAACAAAGTGGGTACTTTCTTACTCGGATATTTGCTTAAAACAATTGTCAAGTTTCATGGGTTGTGCCGATGTCATGAATGCCATTTAAATGGCCTCTGGAGGTGCCTGGGTGGTTCAGTCAGTGAGGTGTCTGCCTTTGGCTCAGGTGTTGATCCCAGGTCCTGGGATCGAGCCCCACATGGGGCTCCCTGCTTAGTGGGGAGGCTGCTGCTCCCTCACCTTCTGGCTGCCGCTCCCCCTATTTGTGCTCTCTCTCTCAGTCAAATAAATAAATAAAATCTTAAAAAAAAAATTGGTCTCTGAGCTACAGGAACAGCCCTGAGCAATTTTAGCGTGAACTGAAATCCACTATACCTCTCCACACTGTTGAGCCTACAGAGCATTTCCAGCTCTTCTATCCACGGTCACCTACAAGAAAACACTCTGAATCTGTCAGCAGCACCTAGAAAAACAGAAGGGCTTGGGGTGCCTGGCTGGCTGAGTCAGTAGAGCATGTGACTCTTGATGTCGGGGTTGTGCATTTGGGCCTTACGCTGGCTGTAGAGATTATTTAAAAATAAAAGACTAAAAAAAAGAGAAAGAATAGAAGGGCTCGTACTCACCGAACAGGAAGGCAGAAGTTTGATTAGACACTGAAAATCTTTATCTGACAGAAACTTGTCAGGACCAAGGTCAGCCTGGAAACATGGGGGAAAATATCAGGGTGTTGCCTTAAGTTACCAAAAGAAAAATTCCTTGTAAACCTTTCCCTTTATTTCATTTGTCCAAATATGACTGTAAACCAAAGGTGCGAGCCACACAAAGTCGGGTGATGGGTATTAAGGAGCGTACTTGTTATCATGAGCACTGGGTATTATGTGTAAGTGATTTATCACTGAATGCCAATATTGCGCCATATGTTAACTGCCTAAAATTAAAAAAACAAAAACAAAAGCAAAAATATTTTTTAAAAAAAACAAAAAACTATGCTGTTATCAAATTCCACTAGCCAAACCACTAGAACTCCCGAAGCAAGAGAGAACATAAAGCAATGTGTATTTTTTCTTTAAAACAAACTGCAAAATTCCCAATCCTAAAGAGGTTCCAGAACTATTTTAAGCTGTTCTGTTTCTTTCCAGATATTTACTAATTAATCAAATACAATCACATGGATATAACCAAGTGAATAAGCAAAGTGATTCAAAATTACTCTCCTTTGATGTAGGACCGAAGAGGTCTTTACAACATCACTCAGAAGAACAGTGCAATTTCTTAATTATCCTTTTTCAGTATCTGCTTTTATAAACCCATCTCAAGTACATGAAAGGAGACCAAAGCAAAAAATCAGCTCACCCAGCTTAACACTAGCCGTTCCTTTGGCTGATTTTTAATCTTCATCAAGAAATATTTCTTCCTTATCCTCCAACCTGCATAAAAGCAGAGATGCAGTCATAACAAATAATATTTACACCAACAGAGAAAAGTTTCACCAACTAAGTAATTTTAAAAATCAAGGTTGGCAATCTTACCCACTGCAATACTGGCACCAGTAAAACCACCACTTGGTAATGTTGACATGGGAAAGATGGTATTTAAGAAAAACAAAACAAAACCCCAAAGCAAAAAAACCCCACAGAAAACACCAAAACAACTGCAAACGAAGAAACTATTCATGGGCACAGGAAAATGGGCACTTCACTTAAGGTGTAGTAAGAAAGAGAGATGAAGAATGACGGATGGCTCTGAAAATACACATTACTACCCCCCAAGTCTCCAGGTGGCACATTACCCAAGATTCATTAAGTATACAAGTTACGGACTGCGTCTTCAAGCAGTAGGAAGGAAAAAGAAAAAGAAATCACCTGCGTGGAAGAGCTTTCTTGGGCTACAGATAGGAAAGCGTGACAAAGAGTCCAGTTCTGTGATCTGTTTGAACAGACCAGGCACGTGCCAGTTTCTCACCTATGTCTTTCAACGGTTCTACCACCTCCCACTTTGGTTCTGATCGGAAGAACATGGAAACTTGCTGTAAGGCAATCTCTGCAAAGACATTTTAGAAACTCATCAGTCCAACCTATCAGCAAAGTACCACATGCTTAAGATGTTATTCTTGCAAATGAAATCTTGATAAGTCTAGGACCTTCTTAAAAAGCTTAATTACAAGAAGAAAAAAACAAAAGAAGCCAGAGAATGTAGGATTCTAGATTGGATCCTGGAACAGAAAAAGGGCAGTAGTGGAAAAACAAGTGAAATTTGAATAAAATCTGTAGTTAATAGTAACGCACCAAAGTTGACTTCTTAGTTTTGATAAATATGCCATGGTTACGTACAATGTTAACATTAGGGGAAATTTGGTGAGCGATGGTATAGGGAACCTATTTGTACTCTCATTGCTGTTTTTCTGTAAGTCTAAAATAATTCCAAAGTAAAAGGTTTATTAAGAAGAGTAATTACTGGGGCACCTGAGTGGCATAGTGGGTTAAGCCTCTGCCTTCGGCTCAGGTCATGATCTCAGGGTCCTGGGATCGAGCCCCACGTAGGGCCCTCTGCTCAGCAGGGAGCCTGCTTCCTCTTCTCTCTCTGCCTCTGCCTACTTGTAATCTCTGTCTGTCAAATAAATAAAATAAAATCTTTAAAAAAAAAAGAAGAGTAATTACTAATGATGTGAAAAAAATACATATATATATTTTTTAAACTGAAAGATCTAAAATATGTAAATAAACTAGGTGACCTGAGCCAAGAATTCAATATATGCGTCAGGCCACAGCCCAAGCACAAAACTCAAAATGTGTTCTGAGGTCAGCTCAGAACAGCACTTATGTTGCTCTAACTGATATTTATCCTGTCTTCATTCCTCATGGAATTAAAGCTTTCACCAACAAAGAAGCGATTAGCCTTAAATATATATTGGAAATAAAAGCCAGTGTTTTAGAAAAACATCTATGTACAGCAACAACACAGTTCTATTGTGGGACGTTACCATAGTCCTGTTTACTGGAAAAAAATCCATCCCCCTTTTTGTGTTCATTTATCATGAGAACGTTTCCCCTTTTTTAAGAAGACAATGAGAAGAGGAAGTTCTTTAAAGTTCACTGCATTAAGAAATTATCAGAATAACTGTGCTTTTACATTTCCTGCAAAAAGAGACATTTGTAATTTGCTATTTTCCCTCAACACAATGGAAAAAGGAAGCCACTCTAGATGCCTGAAAGCAAACAGCAATACTGCAAATTCATTGTGGGATTTCACCTCCGCCTAGCATCAGCGGCATTCCAGGCCGACCGGTGAGGAATGGGAGATTCGGCAGAAATGTTCTCCGTATGTCAGACTGACCTCGTCTGGAATTACCATGGCTAGTGCTTGGCAGGCAATGTGATTTTGATATATTTTACAGTACAGTATGAGTTAAGACATTCAGGGAAGAAAATAATCTACTAACTAGTGGTTTACTGACTCGACGCGTAAATTGTGGATGCCGTCCACCCAGAAGAAAACCTGAGATGACCAGATACAAAACTGACTCTATTTACATTTGTTCTAACTACCCAAAGGGGCAAACCACTTGGAGGGATCAGGTGTGGCAGAAGCATATAAAATGTTCCTAATCAATGCTGGGAACTCTGTTGAGTTAATGTTGACATTATGTTGATATAAAATATTTTTAGCTTTTCCAAAACAACTTCAACAAAAATAAGCATAAAAAAAACTTGAACATAAACAGCTTAAAAAGGCATCATTTTCAGTTAAGATCGTATCAGCTTTGGGAAGGATCATGAAAAATAATTTTCTAAATACAGTACAGTGTCATTCTAAGAGTATAAAGGACAGTTGGTTCATAACTCAAAGTGACTCATAATTCCCCACAAAATCATTATTTGACAACATTTATGGTATTCTACTAGGTACCATACATTGTTCTAGGAACGGGGAGATGGCTGTCAACAAACGGAACATGCTAGATTTGTTACTGATAAACTTTTTTTTTTTTTTACCTTGGGGAATCAGGAAATTGTAGAAAGGACATTTTCTTTCCCCTGAACTATGATTTATTGTCAAGTAAATCCCATGACGAGCATACTTCCAACATGAATCCCCTCCTTCCCGAGCTTCAGGCCACACACTTCAATCCTAAGCATTTGCTCCTCTTCTTAGAAGTATTTACCACACCCCACCTCTTTACAAGATCAAGGCCAAATTTCTAAACCTAGTGCTACCCCAGATCTGGCTTTACCTTGACTTTCCGTCTTTACCCCTCCACACAAATGGTGCAATGCCTAGATTTACCTGCCTTGACCCCTGAAGACAGGCCCAACCCCACCCCTCCACATTTTCTGTTCCTGTCTACCTGTCCCGCAAGGCTCAGCCCATAGCTGCCACTCCTCGAGCCAGATCTCTCCCAACCCTCCATCCTCTACACTCCCAGAGCTCTGTGTGTCCTTCTCCCATGGGATTCACCCAAGGTCTGTCCTATGTTAGGGCTACTCTCTTCCACTAGACTGTGAACTCTGGCTGTGAAGGCTACGTCTTAATCTGGGTAAAATCCCACAGCCACATGGAAATATTCTGTCCTCTCCTGGAGCACTGGCCCTTGCCTCTTGGCGTGACTAACTTCTACTTATCCTTAAATCTCCATGTAGGCATCAACTCTTCTGGAATCCTTCTGCCACCTTCAAAACCCCGACTCCCACCCTCAAGTTGCTGGGTCATGTCTACTCAGCCATAGCCTTCACCTGTCAACCCCCCTGCAGAACGGGGGTGGGGATAGGGGGCTACGCTTTCCTTAATGCTTTATCTGCAGCACCTGACACAGAGCAGGCACTCAATAAATACTGGACGCAGCAAGAACTAAAGGTTCAGTACATGTTCAATGGATGTGGACACTCTCTTCCACTAGAACATGAAATACATGAAAAGAAAGTCATCTGCCCTCTATTTCCTTAATACTGACAGACACATGGGGAAAAACTGCATGCTCAGGAAAATGCTGAGAAACAACATTTCCAGACAGGAAATGCAGAGCGAGGCCTTCAGGCCCACCCTGTGCTTCCCGAAGAGCTCTGACTTGTCAGCTCACAACGTACCAGCTGCCCCCACTGTGTGCAGCCTTTGAGCTCCCAGGTCCCAGCCATGACAAGAGAACCGACCCCGGCCCTGCAACCGGTCTTCAGCTCTCCGATCTGCTCCAGCAGGTGGCGCCATAGAGGCCCACACAGCCGACTTGGGCCTACCACCTCTCCACAGCGCCCTGCCCTGGTTCTGAATATAATCCCCACTCCCGTCCCATTCCTTCCTCCCTCCCTCCCTCGCTCCCTCCCTCCCTCCTTGTATCCTTGAGCCCACTACTACCTGACCAACTCATAGGGTTCCTGGAGTTTCAGGACTAGAAGACAGCCTGTACACTCCCTGTCCACCCCCGCTCCCTCTCCTCTTGTTTTCTAGGCCGGGACCAGAGGCTCACAGATGAAAAATGCTGCTGATGACAAAGCTGGGGCCCAGGAGCCAAACCTCCTCATTTCTGGTCCAAGTGACTTCTATATGGACATTAAAATCCCCTTATTCTGAGGGGGTCTGAGGTCTGAAGTGGGAAGATGGCTATAGTGCGCCGACGCTTTTAAATGATAGAAGCACCCCGTCAATAAGATGAATAAGGTGAGGTGTGTGGGGGTGGGGAATGTGTGCATGTGTGTTTTCCGATACGAGGTCCTCATGACTAGGAGACACCTGTTCTCCCTGTAACAAAAGCTGGCCCTCCATCAGACTTGGTAACACCAATGGGCACCTCCTAACTCCCGCACAGAGCGCCAGGGACCTCTATTTCCTTGGTCACCTGGAGAACACCAGGAAAAGAAAGAAAAGATCAGAAATCCCAGGATGGAGCCCCAGGGAGAGAGGAGGCAGCTGCTGATGCCCTGAAGCTCCTAGTTACCCACCCCCTGGGGACGGGGCTGGCGTCACAGTCCCCCTCCAACCAGGCATCTTCAACCTCAGAGCAAGAGGCAGGAAAAGCGGCCTTGGTGACTTCTGTGACATGAGCACAGATCTCAGATCCCACTGAAGTGGAGTGGGTAGTGACCACGGACCATTAGGAAACGGTAAGAGGTGGCGACCTTATCCATATGAAGGGGGCAGTGGCCTTGCCCAGAGAGGAGCCATAGGGTGGCGGTACGCAGAATGCCCTTGGGAATCAGAGGCCGAGCTTTGAGCTGCAGGAAGCCGGACAAGTCCGCCTGGTTTTCTGGGGATTTGGCTCAGTCAAGCTGGTGCAGAGGAGGCTGCCCGGGCTTCCCTTTCCTGAGGCTGCTAGTGAGTCAGCCTAGAGGCAAGTTTAGTTCTGATGTTTCATTCAAAGGGGGCAATCTCTGAATTATATGTCAGCATCTCTCTGAAAACAGCATCCATGCCCTATTGTTTCATTATGGGGCTCTGTTCTCTAAATAGCAGCAGCTTCTTGAGCATTTGGATCCCGGTGGGAGCTCCTGGCAGCCTTCTTAGATCTCTGCCCACATCTGCTTTGGACTCTTGACTGTCGGCCATGCCAGGGGCGGGAGCAGAGGTACAGAAAAGATCAAGTACAACAGCAGCCTGTGAGGGGGTACAGCGGGAAATATAGGGATCAGATCATCTTCCAGGGGCAAAGCAGCATTTTAATTGGAAAACACTCAGACATTGTACACTTGCACAGTCCAACGCATGTGCAACCCGAGCAGGGTAAGGCCTTTCCTCTCAGGTGACCTCCTGCCTATGGAATGAAAGCGTTAGTTTGGGTATGCCTGCTCCAAAATCTCCCCTAGCTCTGACCCCCCGTAACTCAGTGTTCACCGAGCACGTCTTCCCTGCACCCGCGCCCCCACCAGCCAGGCCCGTACCTGGCACAGGGCACACGCAGAGCGGACGGGGAAGGTCTCCAGATCGGGCCGCATCAGCCTGTGCGCACTGCACCCTGAGGGAACACATGCGCAGACACTCTCGGGAAATACAGGGACAGACCAATGGAAGGGTCTAGGTTAGGGCTGATCTGATATAGCAGTCGGTCCAGACAGTTCGCCATCAGACGCTGTGGGGAACAACGGAGGTGAAGCATGGTGACTGCAGGCCATGAGAGATGCTGCTCTGGAAGGAGTTATGCTCTCCTGGAAGCCCCTGGCCTATAATACCTTTTCTCCCAGGTGAACCAAGAAACAACCGGGGGGAAGAATGACGGCCTTGTAATAACGTAATGCTCCATTTTGTCACTTGGAGTAAATGTGAGTTTGAACGAAACTTTCCTTCACTTGGTTGCATTCTCGAAGGCATTTTTCTTACCTCTGCAGGTACTTCCATTAGAAGACAGGAGGTACATTCTATAGCAAGGCTTCTCAGCCTTTAGTGTGCACACAAATCACCTGGGGACTTTGATAAACTCAGATCCTGACCCATAGGTTTGGGATGGGGCCTGAATTCAGCATTTTTGACAAGCTCCCAGTGATGCCGATGCTGTGGGTCAGAGGACCATACTGGGATGTGAGGAACAAGGTCCAGGGCTATGGTTTTCAAACTCTGGCCCCGTACTGCAATCTCTCGGGGAGCTTTCCAAACTACGCGCCACCCCCCCCAAAACCCGCCATAGAGATTTTCATTTAATTGGCATGAGTACCTGGGCATCAGAATTTTTTAAAGCTCCCTTGCCCTCCCTTGAGGGGAGACAAGCAGTCCCCTATTTCCCTCTCTCTGAAACAGGTATAAAAGCGCCTTCCTCTAATTACTTCAAAAGTAGTGTTTTGAGGACCTGAAATGTAACATGTACACAATCTATTCTCTCAGCAAGGAAATCAGCTTATTAAAAATACCCAGAGTTCCACTAAGACTTTAAGCATGGCTCAGCTTTAACAAATCAGTCAAATTCTAGTCACTGGTTCAGTTCTATGACGGTTTCCATTGGTCTCTTCAAGGCCACACCAGGGAACCCTGAATGTTTAATCACTCGTTCTGCTGACAAGAGGCTTAGGTCATTGACGCTAGCTTTGTGTGTAACTGGCACCCTTTCCACCTCAGTCCCCTAACTGATCCAGGGAAGGTCTGGAAGAAACTACCTCCTCCTCAGGCTTTGCCTTGTGGGCAAATGGGAAGACACAGAAAGGACCCTTTGGAACCACTTGGTATAAAGCAATACCCAGAAAAAACAGACATACTGTATGTTGTAAATTACAGAAACAGACCCAAATAAAAATCAAATTGAGAGTATGGTACAGATTATTGTGGATTATTTACTTTCTTTTCTGTCAGGGAAGATAAGAAAGACAAGACTAAGTATAGGACCCAATAACTTCTCTTTCATATTCTTCTGTGCAAACATCACAAACATTTTTAGAAGTAATTATCTTCTTCTTACACTCTTACAGTAAATTACAATTGGGTAAAGTATTAATAAGCAGATAATGCCCTATAACAAATGTACACACAGCCCCATTTGGAAATAACTTCTCCCACATGTTGTCACCAGCAAAGAACAGTGTCTCTACAGTCATGCAACCATACCTCAGAGATCGCTTTGCTTACCAGTGTAGTTTGCAGAGTAGTTGTTTGGGTCTAAAAACTTCTTAACCAGCTCGCAATTAGACAAGATATGATTTGTGGTGATAACGTTGAGATAGTTCTGCAGACCTTTCTGCCTCTCAGCTATGAATTCACGGTCCATGTTACCAATCAATTTTTTGGGAGGAAGAGGTAGACTGAGGCCTGCAATCTTTAATTAGAAGAGAAAAAGTATTATACTCCTGTCATCCCCACAGAAGATATAATATCAGAAATCCTGAGCCACTACATTTCACTGAGATGCATACTGATTTCAGTGCCATGATAAAAATGTGAAAAAACTGCCACTCAGAATTCATAAAATGCTATATGAAGCATAGCAACTTTAAAATGTCATTTTTTAAAAAGATTGTATTTATTTATTTGACAGAGAAAGACACAGCAAGAGAAGGAACATAAGCAGAGGGAGAAGCAGGCTACCTACTGAGCAGGGAGGGAGCCCGATATGGGGTTCAATCCCAGGACCCTGGGATCATGACCTAAGCCAAAGGCAGAGGCTTAGCCCACTGAGCAACCCAGGGGCCCCCAAATTTAATTTTTTTAAAGTTTTTCTATCAAACTTATATATGAACATAATTTCAAAGAGTCTTTTTATTATTAGCAGCCCTGCGACACTCCCCCCCAACTACCTCTGCCAACAGGTGACCAAGCCATTATCCATTCCCCAGAGACAGCCACATCGAATTCTCTCAGCCCATCTTTTTGGCACAGGGTTCATCATGAATTGATTTTCACTGTTAGGTATTAATCTATTAATTTCCCATTATGGATTAAGTTCTCTTTCACAATCCTCTTCTCACCCCACACGCAACCTATTCCTAATCCCTCCAATATAGTTATAATTTTATTTAGTGCAATATTCCTGTTTACATTAGGTGATCTGCACCACAGAGCCAGAAAGCCATGCTTACAATTCCTTTTTATCAACTGGTCTTTTTTGTTTGTTTTAGTTTTCTGTTCAACTCCAAACTCTCTATCTAAGCATTTTCTCAACATATTCAGACACAAAGATGCATCAGTTTCATCTTTTTTTTTTTTTAAAGATTTTATTTATTTATTTGACAGACAGAGATCACAAGTAGGCAGAGAGAGAGAGGAGGAAGCAGGCTCCCCGCTGAGCAGAGAGCCCAATGCGGGGGCTCGGTCCCAGGACCCTGGGATCATGACCTGAGCTGAAGGCAGAGGCTTTAACCCACTGAGCCACCCAGGTGACCCTCAGTTTCATCTTCTTGAGGACTGCCTGCTCCAAGCAGGACTGGTGGTCCCTCCCTCCGCGGGCTGGCATCCTGGCACATCACGCGAGGGATGCTCTTGCCTGTCTCCTGCTAAACCCCACTTCTAAATCCATACATTCCTTTTTTGTAGAAGAATCCCGGATTTTTAGTGAGGATACCCTCTGCCAGCTTCCTAAAAAGGGAGCCAAGGAAATCAATTTTTTTTTTAAAGTTGCATGTGTGAATGTCTTTATTCTACCCTCACACTTGAACAATAGAGAATCTTGATGTAGAATTCTAAGTTGGAAATATTTTTCCTCCCAAATCTTTAAAAACTACTTTATTGTCTTCTAGCTTCTGGTGCTATTAGCAGTAGATTTTTGCTTCTGTTTTTGTTCCATGCCCCCACCCCACCCCACCCCCTATAAGCTTATAGGGTCTTCTCCTTGACCCCAGCTTGTGAATCCCATGGGCCTCTCTGCAGATCTATTTTCACCCTCTGAGTTGTGTACTGAGCCCTTTCTATCTGGAAACAAACATCCTTCTGTTCTTTGGTATTTTCTAGTATTAGGTCATTATTTCTTCCCCTCTGTACCCTTTGCCTTCTTTTCCTGGAACTCTTATTCCAGTGTTGGTCTTCTGGACTGGTCCTCTATTCTCACCTTTTCTCTCCTACTTTCCACCTTTATTAGACAATATTTTTTTCCTACTGAAAAAGTCTTCAGGAATAGTTCCTTTATCATTCAGCTCTTCTAAAGAGGTTTCATTTCTTTCTTTCTTTTTTTTTTTTTTAAGATTTCACTTATTTATTTGACAGACAGAGATAGATCACAAGTAGGCAGAGAGGCAGGCAGAGAGAAAGGCGGAAGCAGGCTCCCTGCTGAGCAGAGAGCCTGATGCGGGCTCAGTCCCAGGACCCTGAGATCATGACCTGAGTCAAAGGCAGAGGCTTAACCCACTGAGCCACCCAGGCACCCCAGAGGTTTCACGTCCATTATCTTTTTTTTATTTCTGATTACTCTTTATTTTCTTTAATAGCATCCTGAATGTAATGTAACTTCTTATCTGAGATCATAAAATATAATTTTTCTGAAGAGCCTGAGATGTTCCTCTTAATGCATATATTCTGCTTCTGAAGGTTCTTTTCTCTTTTTCCTGTTTGTTTTCACTGTTATCTTTTATGTTAAAAGTGTTCCTGAGGGTTGCTTGTGTGGCTCAGTAGGTTAAGGCCTCTGCCTTCGGCTCAGGTCATGATCCCAGGATCCTGGGATTGAGCCCCACATCGGGCTCTCTGCTCAGCTGGGAGCCTGCTTCCCCCTCTCTCTCTGTCTGCCTTTCTGCCTACTTATGATCTCTATCAAATAAGTAAATAAAATCTTTAAAAAAAATTTTTTTTAAGTGTTCCTGAGAGCTGGGGTGGCTCAGTCGGTTACACATCAGCCTTTGGCTCAGGTCATGATCCCAAGGTTCTGGCACTGAGCCCCACAACAGGCTCTCTGCTCAGTGGGAAACCTGCTTCTCCCTCTGCCCCTCCCCCTGCTCATACTCTTTCTCTCTCTGTATCAAAAATAAATAAATTTAAGAATCTTTAAAAAAATAAAAAATAAAAAAAATAAGTGTTCCTTAGGGGGGAGCTGAGTGGCTCAGTTTATTAAGTGCCTGCCTTTGGCTCAGGTCATGATCTCAAGGTCCTGGGCTCAAGTCCCACATCAGGCTCCATGCTCAGCAGGGAACCTGCTTCGCCCTCCGCCTGTTGCTCCCCCTGCTTGTGCCCACTCACGCGCTCTCTCTCTCTCTGACAAATAAAATCTTTTTTAAAAAAAGTATCAGATTGGTATCTTAATTTAATGAGCAAAATCACTTTCAAAGAGCAGTTGTACTCTATATTTATGCTTAGATTAGAATAGCCCAAGTGAGACATGCATATTGATTGATGGGAAGGTCTCAAGAGAAGGGCATCTTTAATTCAGGAAAGGATGTAATCTAAACCACCCATGTGGGCAAACCTAACTTAGCTGTTCCACTCTATATTTGTCAAAGAGTGAAGACCTTGAACTCAACACTGGACAAGATGAAAAGGTTGGCTGACAATTCTAAATTGCCTATTTCTCCAACATAATTATGAAAATGTGTCAGAGCATACTTAGAATGAATTTTCTATCATGGCATAATTCACTGCCAGATAAGACATGTATTTCAAGTCATTTTCCTCATTCATACAATTAGGCTTTACCAAATAGTAGTTTCTTTATTAACTAAATAAAAAGCATACTTAAGAAGAAAGCACATCACTCAGCTAGTACACATCCAAGTGAATCACTTTATTATTATTTTGTTGTTGTTGTTCCAGAGCATTGAGTAATATAGAGTAATCAAAGGTACTACTAAAAACACAACTGATATTTCTTTTAAAAGTTCTTTTACTGGGGCACCTGGGTGGCTCAGTTAAGCATCTGCCTTGGGCTCGGGTCATGATCCCAGGGTCCTGGGATCAAGCCCTGCTCATCAGGCTCCCTGCTCAGCTGGGAATCAGCTCCCTACCCTACCATCCCTCCACCCACCCACCTTGCATGCACTCTTGCTCTCAAATAAATTCTTTATTTTTTTAAGATTTACTTATTTATTTCAGAGAGAGAGAACACACAGAGGAAGAGGGAGAAGGGAGTGGGGCTGAGCACGGAGCCTGACACAGGACTCTATCCCAGAACCTGGAATCATTACCTGAGCCCAACGCAGACGTTTAACCGTCAGCCTCCCAGGTACCACTAAATAAAATCTTAAAAAATAATAATAATAAATAAAAATTATTTTCTTAAGTTGCAGAATACAATCTCATTTGTGTGTGTGCATTCATGTATGTGTATGTTTAAGCCCATGGATATGGTTATATATGCACGAAAAAAAATGTCTAAAAGGACTCACACTACCTCCTTGAGAACAGTTACCTCTGGGAGTGGGTTGGTCAATAAATTTTTCTATGGGCATCTGGGTGGCTCAGTTGGTTAGGCATCTGCATTTGGTTCAAGCTGTGATCGCAGAGTCCTGGGATCAAGTCCCACATGAGGCTCCCTGCTCAGCGGGGAGCCTGCTTCTCCCTCTGCCTGCCTCTCCCTCTGCTTGTGCTCTCTCTCCCTCTCTCCGACAAATAGATCGATAAACTCTTTAAAAAATAAATAAATTTTCTATACTATGAAATGTTTACATTTCTCATTTACCACTTTTTTTAATTAAAAAGGAAAGGAAAAATTCATGCTTATCAAACTGACCTTATACACAGCAAGGATTCTTAAAAATTACCATGAAAGAGCATAGTCGGTTAAGTTTGGGGTGGGGTGGCACACCTGGGTGTCTCAGTCAGTTAAGTGACTTCAGCTCAGGTCATGATCTCAGGGTCTGGGATTAAGCCGAGTCAGGCTCTCTGTTCAGCTGGGGGTCTGCTTGTCCCTCTTCCTCTTCCTCTGTCCCTTCCCCTTCCCTTGTGCTCTCTTTCTCTCTCTCTCTCTCTCAGATAAATAAATAAATAAAGTCTTAAAAGTGTCCTGTGATCGAGCTCCGCATCAGACTCTGCTCAGGACAGCTCCTTGAGATTCTCTTTCCCTCTCCCTCTGTCCCTCCTCCCCATGCTCTGTCTCTCTCTCTCTCAAATAAATAAATCTTAAATATATATATATATTTCATATATATATTTATATATGTATATGTGTGTATATTACATATGTATATGTATTTATATTATGTATTTTTATATATACATATATATACGTGTGCGTGTGTGTATACATGTGTACCAATATCAGCCCGTTTGCCGGCACTACTCGCCTGACAGCACACCCAGATGAAATCCACATGACTCAAAATGGAGAGTTGAGGTGCCTGAGTGGCTCACTGGGTTAAAGCCTCTGCCTTGGGCTCGGGTCACGATCCCAGAGTCCTGGGATCAAGCCCTGAATCAGGCTCTCTGCTCAGCAGGGAGCCTACGTCTCTCTCTCTCTCTCTCTCTCTCTCTCTCTCTCTCTCTCTCTGCCTGCCTCTCTGCCTACTTGTGATCTCTGTCAAATAAATAAATAAAATCTTTTTTAAAAAAATTAACAGAATGGAGAGTCACATCTATATCATCAGATTCAAACCCCAACAGAGCTATTTCTCATTCATGGTGAGGATATGAAAATGAGTTCGATAAGGTATTTGTTTTGAAGTTTGTGGCCTCCAAGCTTCCATCAATCTATTTGTTCAAGCTTCATTTCACTTTAGGAAAATATATTGATCTGCCCAGACATCCCATCAGCTCATCCCATCACCTGATCCCAAATCATCAGGTGAAACAAAGTATTCTTTGCCAACAGCTGCAATTATAGTATCTCTGCTATGTTTACTATGCTGGTCAGCTGGACAGACTGGAGGTTGTTTCCTGCTCTGCCTGAAGATCTCACAATAAATATTTCTACAAGCATTACTAGTATGTAATATGTGTGTTACTTTAAAAGCTTGCCTTTTAAAAAAGACTAGCATTCGAGAGATACTTACTCTTTCAGCTTTCTCCCAGAATTTCTAAAATGTTTGCCAATTATAGAATATAAAGTTTAGAAGTCCAATGACTCATTAGGAGGGAGGGAAAGAGAATATTATTACAGAGAGCAATCAAGTCTCTAGGCAATGATTTCCTAGACACCTCCACACTGATGGCTTCAAACCATGACAGCTCACCATCCCATTTTATTTATTTATTTATTTATTTATTTATTTATTTATTTATTTATTTATTTATTTAAAAGATTTTATTTATTTATTTGACAGAGATCACAAGCAGGCAGAGAAGTAGGCAGAGAGAGGGGGAAGCAGGTTCCTTGCCGAGCAGAGAGCCCGATGCGGGGCTTGATCCCAGGACCCTGGGATCATGACCTGAGCCGACGGCTGAGGCTTAACCCACTGAGTCACGCAGGCGCCCCTCACCATCCCATTTTTGAGAGTTTTCCTCTTTAACATGTCCTATGGATTCCCTTCTTGAGTTCCCTGTGTACAGGGAAGGGAATAAGAAAGTCAGTGGAGAAGTCCCCAAAGACACATCCATTTTACCTGCAGAGTGATAAGACAAAGGGGAATAATCGCCAAAGTGAGGTCTAGATCCCATAATCTGACCTGCTCATAGAGGCCTCTAAAGTACATGACAAACTATACTGTAGTTTCAAAAAAACTAGTTCTGTCTGGAGGAGGAACCTTCAAAGGATTAATCCTTCAAAGGATTTAATCTTTTTTTTTTAAGATTATTTATTTGTTTATTTGACACACACAGAGAGAGATCACAAATAGGCAGAAGTAGGCAGAGAGGCAGGCAGAGAGCGAGGGAGAAGTAGGCTCCCTGCTGAGCAGGAGCCCGATGTGGGGCTTGATCCCAGGACCTTGGGATCATGACCTGAGCTGAAGGCAGAGGTTTAACCCACTGAGCCACCCAAGCGCCCTAAGGATTTAATCTTTTAATCCTTCATTTTCATGATCAGATCTCAGTGGTCTACAAATTGCCTTCAACCATATTCCAATGAGTATTCTAGGGAGTTCTAAGTTTTCAACGAACCCTTAATTTGTCCCAATATACCCCCAGTGTACCGCTGAGTCTCTCCTATATCAACAGTGGGCAATGAAATTCAAATCACAAAGCATCCGTGCTACAACAGACATGAGAAGTCACCTGGTTCAACCCCTTGTTTCAGATGGGGAAAGTGAGGATGGAGAGGGAAAATAAATGACCCAAGGTCTCCCCGCTGAAAGGGGCAGGGTCTGGGCTCCTTCCCAACATGAGGATTCCCATCTCATTTCCCATCATTTCAGCTCCTGGTCCTCTCTTTTGTTTTGCTGTATGTGGTCTCCCTGGATGGTTACTCATTTCATGTTGCCTTTAAAATAAGTTAGAGGGGCGCCTGGGTGGCTCAGTGGGTTAAAGCCTCTGCCTTCAGCTCAGGTCGTGATCCCGGGGTCCTGGGATCGAGCCCCACATCGGGCTCTCTGCTCGGCAGGGAGCCTGCTTCCTTCCCTTCATCTCTCTGCCTTGCCTCTCTGCCTACCTGTGATCTCTGTCTGTCAAATAAATAAATTAAAAAAAAAATCTTTAAAATAAGTTAGTTAGAGATTCAGGGACGCCTGGGTGGTTCAGTCAGTTGGGCAACTGACTCTTGGTTTTGGCTCAGGTCATGACCTCAGAGTCGTGGGATCGACAACCCTCCTGCCCGCCCTGGCAGGCTCCCCCCGCTCAGCAGGGAGTCTGCTTGTCCCCCTCTCTGCCTCCCGCCCACTCACATGCACTCTCTCTCCCTCTCTAAAGTAAATAAATAAATCTTTAAAATAAGGTAGTGATCCTTCTTTAAGACAAAATATGCTCATTATATAAAGTTATGAAAATGCATCTTCCTTAGCTTTGCTTATTTGGCTTATATATGCTTGTTTATAGAGAACCTGGAAAGTACGAAACACTATAAAGAGCCAGAAAAAAACCATAAAACCCATAGTCCTGCCACCTGGAGATTACCATTGTTAACAGTTTGGCATATCCCCCTCCAATCTTTCTTTCTAAACATTTCATGTAATTCTATTATATTGCATGTATAATTTTACATTCTGCTTTTTTTTTTCCACTTTGGCATCTCTCCTACTGGAGACAGACAACTCTGCGTATGTGTATTATATTTCTCTTTCTTCAGCAGGAACTCATTTATCCATCAGAAAGGGTAATCAGACACTAACAAGCATGGTCACAGTTTTATTCTGTGGTTTTTAGGGTCTTTTTGGTCTGTTTTATGGAGGTTGTTTTGAAATTATTTTCTTGCCAAAAAGCTGTATGTACTTTCTTCTGTTTGTTTACTTGGATCTAGAAAAACCTCCCACTGAAATGATGTCTGGCCATATCCTGCCCAGCATAAGCCAACATCAATACACGTGGATATTTGCATTTGAAATAAAATGCACAGTGAAAGTGCCCATTTTCAAAGGGAAAATTATACTGAAGCAAAAATAAAATTCTATTATATTAAAAAGGCCATGACTGAATCGTCATAGAGATCCAACCTTACATCCCCTAAGCAAAAACAAATAGGGGAAAAAACCCTCTCCCCCCACCCAACCCATTCTTGGGGGCTAGGCCTAGACAATTTCAATTTCAGAGCCCTTCCTCCCATGAGTCCTCCTCAGTCCCGGCTGAATGACACTGTATGAAGATCACTGGACAAAGGTTCTCTTGTGCATCAAGGTGAAAACACATAGTAGGCTCAATGTTAACTCCCAAATGCCATTGAGGAAATGCTGCCTGGGAACGTCTGGAGAGACTTCTGGAGAAAATCCACTGCTGGAATGAACTACACGTTGGTGCCTTATCCACATCATCAGAGACCCGGCTTTTGTCTAAGTGGAAAGAATATGCTATAAAAATCCATAAATGAAAGCAATTAAGCCCATCAATAAGGAGAATTTGATCTCTCCCAATATTTTATCTGAAGATTTAAATTGGTCATACTATAATTAAAATTTAAAGAGACACAATTTGTCAAATGCACGACCATCTGTCAATTACATAAAGGTCTGCAGACACTCAGGCCAATTCTATCAGAGACCAAGTTAGGCATTTCTGTTTTCAGCAGGGTTGTAAATAATGTTGTAGTTTGGACTCTACATATACTGTTTTCCAAAGCCTGATCAATAACCATGGCGTTTTGAAGGAAAGGAAGCATGTGCTCGCCCTCAGCCAGCAGTCCTCCTGACCTTCGTGGACAGGACCAGCAGTCACTCAGACTAGGTAATAAGTGATGACAAGCTCATCAATGAAGGGAGAGCAGTGCTTCACCTCCCGGCTGAACTGGTCATAAGCCAAGCACACCTGCTCAGGGTTTACGTTATCGATCATCTGAGATATGACCCAGGCCCAGTGGTCTGCAATCACCCATGGCCCTTAAAGACCAATCTGCTGAATGGGGATGTGGGTGCTACTGCCAGTACTTACTATGGTGCTAACGCCCCTCTAAGACCCTTCCATCATGACCAGCACAGCTATTTCAGAAAAGATTCCGCAGCTCATCCCTCTTTCCATTGTGGCCACCAAGTTAGGAACATTTAAATCAAAGGGAGTTAGAAATAGGTATTTAAGAGAAAAAAGTTACACTGAAAAATGCTATCTCTAGCTCCTGCTGAGTATTGATCTGCAAGGCTGACTATGCAGTCTAGCTCAGCGGTGAGAGTCTGAGACAGTCCCAGCTCTAAGTGAATGACTCCAGCAACCCAGCCAGTCATTCCTTATCTGTGTGGAAGAGAGGACACACAGCATCCCATGACCGTGGTAAGGATGTCATCTCGCACACAGAGACTCACTTGCCTGTGACTATTGTAAATCAGATGTTTATTTCCCAAAGTTTATTTTTAGAGCCACACATCATCTGTTTAAAGTATAAGTCTATATCCTCCACCAGGAAGATCTGCTAGTTTTTTGTTCTTGATACTGCCCTTTCCAACCAGTTTCTAGGACACCCCAAGCAATGACCGTGTGTCATGAGTGTTTTCAAATACTTACCTGCAAGCTGTTGTTCAGCAAATCAAAGTCACTGTATCTCCTAACGATCTGTAAGACAAGACAGCAGTGTTTTCATTTGGTAAAGACAACCTCTTTCATTTCCTTATTTAATATTTATTGGCATTCTAGGGCTGAGGCACTTGAACTAAAGGTAGTAGGGCTTACACCGGGTGCTTAACATGCTCAACTGACAGGCCCAGAAAACAGACCTATCAGTGCCCAGAGCTAGCTGGGTCCATAGGAAACCGGTTAACACCAGTCAAACACACAAGATGCCAATAGGTAAAAGAGAATGATGATGTATTTGTTTTTAGGGTGAAGAGCCCTTTAAATATCTTTCTCATTAACCAGGCACCTGGAAAGATGAATTAATGATTTATGCCCCACCCAAAAAAGTTTTACTGAACATGAAATCAAAGTAAAAGGAAGTGAACAGCTTTGAGGCCCTTCATCCTTGCCCTGGATAAAACTTCCCCCAGTTGAGAACCCACCATTCTAGAGATAGGACTGTACCTGCAGGCAGAGAGGCCACACCTTTCCCAATTCCCTGTGTTTCCCCTCTTGGTAGACAGTCCACTTTCCATTGTCTATACATTCTTTCTTAGTTATGCTGATGGCACTGATTAGGCCAGAGTCAAATTCCACTAGCTCTTCAGGCTCTGGGCAAGGAAATTATTTTGCTTTTGAATGATTTGACTTCAACGCTTGTTGAGGACTCTCAAATATTAGTGAGCAGAATTACCTACCAATCTTCTAGGACTCTGCCCTTGGAGAAATCTCCCACAGTAGGTCCACGGTGGGGCCCAAGAGTCTACATTTTGGGGAAGTATCCCCAGGATTCTAATGCCTTGTATCTGGAAAACTACCCCAAGGATTGATTTCCCTGGTAGGACAATGCTCTTGCCCTGCTTGTCAAATACACATCCAAGAGTTAAATAGAAGGCCATCCCTCAGAAGTGCAAAGTACATAGCGGTTAATCATAGCAAATACACAGACTCCCCTGTTCTGTCCCTGATTTGTGTGTGACCATTGCCTAGTTAGTAACCCTTGAATGTAAAACAGAGAGCTCCAATCATGCAGAACTATTTTTAAAGGGTTGAGTGAATTAATGTGCCTGAATCAGTGCCTGACAACAAATGTTCAAGAGATGTTAAATAGTGTAACTATTCACGCAGAAAGCAGTTTGAGGGCGCTGGGTGGCTCAGCTGGTTGAGCCACTGCCTTCAGCTCAGGTCATGATCCCAGAGTCCCGGGATTGAGTCCTGCATCAGGATCCCAGCTCTGCTGGGAGTCTCCTTCTCCCTCTGACCTTCTCCCCTCTCATGCTCTCTCTCACTCTCTCTCTCCCTCAAATAAACAAATAATAATAATAATATAATAAACAGTTTGAAAATTCGGGCAAAGAGAAGACCAAGTGTGGACCACTGTGGTCCAAGACTGCTTAGGGAGAGAGCTAAGATTCAGGCCTGAAGGACAAGGTACGCTGTTTTGTAGCAGAGAGGGGGGAGGGTAATTATAATTTAAAAAGCAAGAAAAAATGGCCCCTAGAGAGAAGTCACCCACCCTCTGCAAGTCAACTGACATAGGAAGGACTTCTGGATCTAAGTAGGCAGTTTTTACTCTCCTTCCACTATGAAAGAGCACAGACCCTAGGGCTATATGGCGAGTCCATGGGGAGTCCATGAAATGCACAGGCTCTGAGCTGTACAGTGTCCAGGGTCCCCTCTAGCCTTTCCATCCAATGGACCTCACTCTAAAGGGCCCCACCTACACGTGGCTACAGGGGAGAAGTATGAATTACTAAGAACAAAACAAGTAATCTACCTACTATCTATCTTACTCTGGGTCAAACGAGAGAACAAATTCCTAGATACTCTCTGTGGTAACACCATATACAAATTAAACCAAACAAATGGGAACAGAAAACCCTTTGGATATAAATCTTAAAGCTGGAAGGTTTATATCTAAAAGAAACAGGATTCATATTTATGCATGTTTTGGTTTTCCCACATTTTTGGATAACCTGAGTCAGACTTTTATTTAAACAGTTAAACATTTTTCTAGGGACTAAAAAAAATGCTTACCTGCCAACTGTTTTCTGCTGATATTCCTCTTTGCACCCGAATGATATACTCCTAAAAAAAGAGGAGAGGGGAAAGAAAGAGGCTGTTATAAGACACCCAAATCAGAGAATCAAAATTAATTGAAAATATCAGATAAAGTAGACTTCAGAGCAAAGAAAAGTACTAGAGATAGAGGATACTGCATCAAGATAAAGCAGTAATCAACCAGCAAGACACAGCAATCTTAAATGTGCATATACCAAACACCAGAGATGTAAAATACGGGAGGCAAAAACTGATGGAACTGAAAGAAGAAATGGGCAAATTCATGGTTATGGTTGGAGACTTCCACACCCTTCTTTCAGTGATTAATAGAACTATTAGACAGGAAGGACACAGAAGAACTCAACAATACATCAACCAACATTTTTAATGAGGATTTGTGGACACTCCAGCCAACAACAGCAGAATACACATTCCTCTCAAGAGGACATACAGATGGCAATAAGCACAGAAAAAGATGTTCAACATTACTAGTCATCTGGAAAATGCATACAAAGACTGCAATGAAATATTATTACACACCTGCCACAATGACTAAAACAAACAAAAAATAATACCAAATGCTGGCTAAGTCACAGAGAAACTGGATCACACATATACTGCCTGTGGGCATGTAAAACGGTACCCTCACTCCGGAATACGGTTTAGCAGTTTCTTAAAAGATTAAACATGCAACTATTATGCGACCCAGCAATTGTACTCCTGGGCATTACCCCAGAGAAATGAGCATTTATGTTCACACAAAACTTGTACAGGAATGTTCTGTTCCAATGTTTGTAGCAGCTTCATTAGTAACAGTCCAAAATTAGAAACTAGCCAGATCTCCATCAACAGGTGAGTGGTTAAACTCTGCTACATCCCTATCACACAGCAATACTCAGTTACAAAGAGGAATAAGCTACTGGTTCATGTAACAACTTGGATGAATCTCCAGGGTTATGCTGGGTGAAAAAGTTGGTCCCAAAAGATTATAAACTGTATGACTCCATTTATATAACATTCATGAAATGACAACATGATAGATATGGAGAACAAATTAGTGTTGTAGGAGTTAAGGCTGGATTGGTAGGGTGTGGGGGGGAGGGATGCAGGTGTGGCTATAGAAAGCCAAAGTGAGGGGCTATGCTTTCAATGTTTGTGTCCCTCCCCCCCCAAATTCATGCTGAATACGAACCCCAAAGATAATGGTATTAGGAGGCAGGACCTGTGAGAAGTTCTTATGTCATGGGAGTGAAACCCTCATATATGTGTTTAGTGCCAAGTAAAGGAGGCTCCAGAAGGATCCCTTGCCCCTTCTACCAAGAGGATAATTTGAGAAAGTACCAGTTATGAATGAGGAAGAGGACCCTCCCCAGAAGGCAACCACGCTGGCTCCCTGATCTCGGACTTTCAGCATCTGGAACTGTGAAAAATAAGTTTCTGTAGTGCATCAGCCATCCACACCCGCCTGAGGGATGCTTGGATTGATGGGAATGTTCTGGATCTAGACCTTATCAAAGTCAATGTGCTGACTGTGATACTGAACCACAGTTTCACAAGACAGTACCACAGAAACAAACTGGATGATGGACATATGGGATCTCTCTGTGTTATTTCTTACAAAAGCATGTAAATCTGTAATTACCTAAAATAAAAAGTTTAAACTTAGATATTCAAACAAGGAGTGGTAGCAATTGGAAGACTAAGATCCACGATTTTTGGGTGTTCAGAGTTTGCATTCTATATGCGTCCCCAGCTAGAGAAGGCCTGGATTAGGGAAGCAAGTGAAAGGGTAGAATAGAGAGGCAGTGATGGCATTTTCCAAAGAAACCAAATCCAGTGACCAAACCCCTACCTGCCTCATCATTAATATCTCTCTGCTCCTGAGGAGGAGGGAGAGGAGAGGGTATTAAAAATACATATTCTTGGGATGCCTGGGTGGCTCAGTGGGTTAAGCCTCTGCCTTCAGCTCAGGTCATGATCTCAGGGTCCTGGGATCGAGCCCCGCATCGGGCTCTCTGCTCAGCGGGGAGCCTGCTTCCCCCTCTCTCTCTGCCTGCCTCTCTGCCTACTTGTGATCTCTCTCTGTCAAATAAATAAATAAAATCTTAAAAAAAAAAAACATATTCTTGGGATGCCTGGGTGGCTCAGTGGTTAAGCGGCTGCCTTTGGCTCAGGTCATGATCCCAGGGTCCTGGGACCCAGTCCCAAGTCAGGCTATCTCCTCGGCGGGGGGTTTAGCTTCTCCCTCTGCCTGCAGCTTCCCCTGCTTGTGCCTTCTCTCTCTCCCTGACAAATAAAGTCTTAAAAAAAAAAAAAAAATACACATTCTCAGGCTTTGCACCAGAAATGCTGAATTAGAATCTCTAAGATAGAACCCTAGGAATTAGATGTATTAACAGCCTCCCCATGTAATTTTTTTTTTTTTAATTTTAAAGGCAGACGCTTAACGACTGAGCCACCTAGGCGCCCCTCCCCACATAATTTTAATGAAGACAGCAAGCAGGAAACACAGACCTAGTCCAGCCTTCTGTCTATACACAGGGGGATTCATGATTAAGGTATAGATTAAATCATTTAAGAATGTTGACATTCTTTCCTCAAAGGCTCAGAATTGTTTTAATCTCCTTGGATGGTATGATTTAGGCATTACCGGCAATCACTACTCAACAAATGCTTATCAACAAGGTATTCAACAAATCCTTTCTACTGAATTCTCATTTAAATAGGTGATTTAGAAAACAAAGCCAAATAAGCACGGTGAACCCGGTGACTGGATTTTTAAAATAGAAGTTTTTGCGCTATCATTCATTTCCACTCGTGTATTTAAGAAAAGTGGATAAAGTTCTCATAGCAGGAATTCCCGCCTCCTCAGGAATATGTTAAGGATGGCAATTCAACAATATCCACTCAATTATGAGTGAATCAGCTGTGTACCTGGCAGCCATGCTGAGTTGGGTTCATATGGGGTTTATATATATATATATATATATTTTTTTTTTTAAAGATTTTATCTATCTATTGGACAGAGAGACAGCAAGTGAGGGAACACAAGCAGGGGGAGAGGGAGAGGGAGAAGCAGGCTTCCCACCGAGCAAGAAGCCCGATGCAGGGCTCAATCCCAGGACCCCCGGAACATGACATGAGCAGAAGGCAGATGCTTAATGACTGAGCCACCCAGGCATCCCATAAAATAAATATTTTAAGTCTGATTCGTGTAGTGTGGCAAATCTCTTAAGCAATATGCTAATGCAATTATTTCTAAATCCATACAGATAAAATGCTGAAAACTTCTGACATTCTTAAATTTGGGGGCTCAATCCTTTATGGTGGAAATTTTCTTTTTTCCAGGCAAATTTTCTGGGCTTTTACATTCTCAGAGTCAAGCTGAAATTAGCATATATCATGGAGTACTTCCAAACAACCACACATTGAAAAGACAAGCTCTTCTGATGTCTAAAATTGAGGGAAAATGTTGATTCTCAAAAACCACTTCTAGCATCTATTATTCACTACGATTTATCAGAGGAATAATATTAATTTAATTCAATTTTTTAAAAGATTTTATTTAGGGGCGCCTGGGTGGCTCAGTGGGTTAAGCCGCTGCCTTCGGCTCAGGTCATGATCTCAGGGTCCTGGGATCGAGCCCCACATTGGGCTCTCTGCTCAGCAGGGAGCCTGCTTCCTCCTCTCTCTCTACCTGCCTCTCTGCCTGCTTGTGATCTCTCTCTGTCAAATAAATAAATAAAATCTTTAAAAAAAAAAAAAGATTTTATTTATTTATTTGCTAGAGAAACAGCAAGAGAGGAAACACAAGCAGGGGGATTGGGAGAGGGAGAAGCAGGCTTCCTGCTGAGCAGGGAGCCCAACGTGGGGCTTGATCCCAGGATCCTGGGATCATAACCTGAGCCAAAGGCAGACACTTAACAACTGAGCTGCCTGGCGCCCCTCGAATAATATTAATTTTAAAAATTCCAGTTCAGTGTTGGGCACTTTGTAGGTACTGAGTAAAAACACTGTTGTCGCGCTTTACATGTGTTGAGTTTAAAGTTCAGACCTGTGCTTTACAAAGACGTTGCTGCCAACTGTAAATAGTCACTAACGCACCCATAACGTTCCAATCCCTGTACTTCATTCATGCTGGGGTGTAACTCTGAACAGAAAGGTACAGTCTGATTCCATTCCTTCCTTCATAGACACACAATTTAGATTAAAAAAAAAAAAAAACTTGTCTATAAACATGTCACTCTTGATCTCAAAGCCGTGAGTTTGAGACCCACATTGAGGGCAGAGTTTACTTAATAAAATTCAGAACTTCCTGAACACACATTTGTGCCAGAATAGGTTATGTCTACACTATTTGGTCAACTGGCAAACATCTTCTCACCTTACTCCTTTCTATATGCTCTTTGCCCTTTATTCCTCTCCCCTCCCCGCAACTGACAGTAACCATTATGTGCTCTAGTCTTCCATGAGCCTTTACCGTTGTCTCTACTCCAGGATCGCAGGACTATCAGGCTTATAATTCTCACTAAGGTATTCCTGAAGTCTCTTAATTGATACCCTATAAAGTTGCCTATTATTGTGATTATGATTATTACACTGTCTTAAAAAAGACCCTGTCTATAAAGCAGCACACAATAATGACTGGGAAAAGCATGTGACAGAGGGAAGCAGTAACTACAAGATAATGCCTGGGTCATGTTGTCAGGCGGTGATAGCCAAAATGACATTGCCATTAATGTCTGTGCCAAGACATTCTTTAAATTTAGGCCAGAGATTTCAAAAGAGGATGATTCTGACCCAAGTGACATTTAGCAATGTCTGGAGACATCATTGGTTGTCACAAGGGATGAGGGAGCTACTGGCATCCAGTAGACAGAGGTCAGGGATGCTGCGAAACACCTACAATGGACAGCACAGCCCACCACCACCCCCAACGAAGGACTACCTGGCATCGAATGTCCTTGGTGCCAAGGCTGAGACAGCCAGGTTCAGGTGCATTGATAAACCAGTCATTCCCATCCATG